GAATAAGACAGACGCACACCAAGGAATATCGTTGACATTATACTTGTGACCATTTTCGACTACAAATTTTCACTTTTTTGAGCTGGCGTTGAAAATAATCTTTAAAAAAAGCTTTTAACCAAAGCTTTAACGGCATTTTGTGGAGAAACTTAATGCTTTCATTAATTTTAAGTACTTACCTATTACAATTTTGTTTTTTTTTTTATCTGATTATGGTGGGCTAAATTCGATACGGATTTGACCATAAAATGTTATTTCTATTACATATATTTTCGTTAGTCGATTTTAATTAAATACATAATTGCTTTTCGTATCATATTATATGCAAGGTTCTATCCAGTCACATCTCATCAATAGTTCCAATATTTGCTCGAGCAACCGAGTTGACAGAACGCCCAGCATCTTCGAATCTTGGACAAATATTTGTCAGTGCCTACAATATTAAGTAGATACTATCAAATATACCTATGTAAAGTAAAATTAATAATACACCCTTCTCATCTCTTGGGAAATCTCAATCAATAATTTCTAAGTGAATGAGCCTTGAACCTTCAGTGTTAATATTGAGAAATCTTTACCCTCTGGGTGGATTTCAAAGTATTTTTCAATATTACTTACTTGAAACAGTTTTTATTTCGCTTCAGTTGTCAGTCACAGTTGATTTTTTGTTAAAACTTAACAGGAGAGAAATCTAGAACAAATTATACTTACTCGTACCTATTCGATGTTGAGTCGAGTGAATTTGTATCATAGTTTTGAGAGAGGTTTCGTTAGTAACAAAACCTTTTCTCCCGTCATCTTTACTAAGAAGACTTGCCTGGTTGCCATTGCCACCATAGTTGGAGTTGGAAGTGTTGGATCCTCATTGCCTTATCGTAAGGTCTAAATTTTAGACTCAAAAACAAAAACAAACATGAATTGGTTATGTCATATGCCAGTTTTCACCAGAAAAACAAATGACACGCGACACTGACGAAGTATAAAACAAATACAATAATTTGAAGTCTTATCCCTCGAGGCAGTGCCGTAACTAGCCTTTTATGCGCCCGGTGCGAGCTTTCAAAACTGCGCCCTTGAAAAATGCTTGGTCTGGTCATTTCTGCGCCCCTCCAGGGTCTGCGCCCTGTGCCTGGGCACCGCTGGCACCGCCCTAGTTACGGCACTGCCTCGAGGCTGTATTGCTGTTCGCAAACTAGCTTATATGGCTCTGCGTGGAACTCCTAATTTTAGTTTTGTAATTACGCTGTCTTTACGACTTCCCTGCAAAGAAAAATAAATAAGTAATGGTGACACTCCAACTTTCGCCAGTCCAACTTTCCTGCTCTGTTAATTTATGTCCTTGCTGGACAGGATTAATTATGTACATAAAATAAACTACCTTATTTTCTTCCACGAAGCTTGTTTATATGCGAGAGCAAATTGATGACGCCATCTTGTACGTAAATATGCAATTTCATTTAGTTAAGTGCCACTAATTAGGTGTGTAAGTTGATGTCTGTAACGACACCACTAGGAAAGTTTATTGTACTGATATATATGTTTATTTATCGAGTTGTTAATTAAACACTACTACAATGTACTCGTAATACACTACACGTTAGTTATACACTTATACGCTACACTTTATTGGTGCATTATCAACTTTTTGGCTCCTTTAGGTGTCACGAATTTTGACGTTGACTGTACTATTATTGGAGATGTTGGTTGGTTAGTGAAAAAACATTTGCTATAAAAACTCGCTTATTTTACCGCTATGCTTTATAATAATTTCAGTAATAAGAAAGTTAATGTAAGTTTGTAGCAAAATCTCACTGATTTTGCTTGAGAAATCGTGTCTGTAGTAAGGCACAGATAAGCATTTAAGCAGTAATTTCAGATCATAATCCTAAATTGAAAATCAAAAGAATATCTTCTTGGAAAATATAGGTTCTTCCCTTTAGTTAGTACCTACAATTTGTTCTTTGTTGACTTTTTGGTAACATCGTAAGAGATTTAAAATATGACTAAACGTCATCATTAAAAGCAAGTATAATACAATCATTCCCCGGTTATTTTTTTTCTTAAATAATTAGCAGTAATTTTCACATAAAATACCTACGAAATTAACTGGACATATTATTTTAACCTCCGTCGTTTAGTCAAGAGCGTCTATCGTCCAATAATTGGATTACGTAAGTCAATCAAACCGTCGCTCCAGAAGAAAAGCGACCCACATCACATCACGTCCATATTCCATACGCTCCGCTTTGACGGGAAATTCTGCCTTCATGCCCAGTAAATTAAGTTTGAAAGAAACTTAGATGATTTTGTAAATAGATTAGATATTCTAAAATTACAGCATTTAGTTCATGCATTCGGATGGATAAAAAATTTTGTCTGATATTCTCAAATTACAGCATTTAGGTCATGCATTCGCAATGTAAATCTCTTTGTGTTATAATGTGATTATAATTGGGTAGTTCACTGACATATAAACCAATAAGTAATTTCCAAGTATAAATTTTTAGTAGGTACATTCGAAAACAATGGGCGGAAAATCGCGATATAAGTGACAATTGACTAATTCATGCTGGTAGTATCAACTATGATAATATGTAGCATATTAGACAGGATAGGACGACATCCTTCTAAACTATCTAGTAGCTATCAACATTGAATACCCGCCTCCCTTCAGCGCCGAGCATGCGATCCCCTGGACAAACAGAGTCTATTAGTATAGGCTCCGGCTTACAACTTCTTAACGTTAATTTGACTAGCTTACTAACACTTACTTTAATTAACTATTACGAGTTTAGAATGCTCCTTGAGTTGCTGCGGTGTCAAAATTAATTATTCCGAAACAAACAGGTGGGTGGACCTTGATAACATTAACTACTGACGTGTATCTTCTCAGTGTAGGTACATACGCTTCATTTGGCTGCATTTAAACCTAAAATACTTACCGATAGATACCTATTAAATTGTTTGTTTATTATTATTGTTCTTAATTAAAATAGTATATTCAACGAAAGTACTTAAAAGGAGTGTAAGAAGACCTGTTCACGACCTTAAGAAGATAGCTGGAGAAACTAGGAAGTAGGAGATCGTGCTTTTTTGTGTTTCTTAGAAGACTCTTACGTCCAATGATTGTCTGAAATGATGAAACGATAATATTACTTGTCACTTTATAAAAAGCAAATAAATTAGTCAATAACATAATCATAAATAATGCCGTGCCGTGACAATTCCCAAAGTTTAAGAATATTTTAGAAAGAAAGAAAGAAAGAAAATATGTTTATTCAGTATCATCGACAATACACTTACAATACTTACACCTAAGTAAGTTTTACAGTAACTTACACCTAAGTGTTTTTACTTGTCTTTGCGAATTCAGAAGTGATTATTGAAACTTTATCCTTGGGAACAATAAGAAATAGCAAACTACAAGAACAATGGCGTTCCGTAACGTAAAGGCGTGGAGTCGGCTGTAAAGCACAAAATTAATTAAAGTCCGGCAAAAGTCCCATTTGATTGGCATTAGGAGGAGCAACTTTGAAGGCTAACAGAAGTTTAGCTTTGATTTATTGATCTGGGCCGCGGGGATTTGCTTCTTCACCCACGAAGCAAAATTAGCCAAACTAGGAAAGCTAAGCAAACTGCTAAACTACTAACGTTGAGTTTCCCCTGGTGCTGTGATCACCAAATAGTTTAAGTGAGTGTACACATACGTGTAAAAACATAATAAGTACTATGGGTTTTTACAGAAAGGCCGATTTTCAGAATGAATTTCAGCGATTTCTTTTTGATAAAATTGTAAGCAGTTCGAAACCACCTAATAGTATAAATAATATTGAAATTTTAGAAGGGCGCTAGTTATGAGTTTAATAATAAATGAAAAATTTTCCTTTCTTAAACGTTGAAAAGCAGCAACTATAGTAGGAAGTGTAAGGCAAGGAAAAGCTTTTAAGCGGACTTGCAGCACTTCGTTACGTATAATTAACGACACTAATGCACTGTGCATTAACATAATCTCAGATTCCTTTAGTCGCCGTATATTTCCTTTTAGACGAAGAACTCTCGCATTTTAAAATCCAGGACTAGATAAAGAATATTCTAAGTAATGAGAGAGCAGGGTTTAGAGAGTGGATCCGGTAAGGCAGCTTGGTCTTTATCTAAAGTTTAACGATACTTAATTCATACCTATCCAAAACCGTTTAAATACTAGGGTCGTCATTATATGTTCCACAAATCACTATTTACAACATAAGATATCTAGATGATTAGGCGAATAAAATATTTTCTTGTATTTCTACATCTAATTTTTTGACAAAAAATAATAATACTCACCTACTTGTATAAATCTTTTCTTTGCTCTCCGTTTCTTTGACCAGTGTCAAAAAGAAAACTTTTAGCTTAGCAAAATAATAACATTATTTTCGCCGTTGTCCTTTATTGTATTGTAAGAAGTTATTTCCCCAAACGTCGGTGGCGTAAATCTTGGAGACGAAATGTGAATAGATGTAAAGGCATTCTCAATTCGCGTGAATGAAACTAAGCGAAAATAGAAAGCCGCCGACTTACAAAAGGAAAAGCCAACCGCGAAAATCGTAATATTCGTAACTGAATTATTCCAAAACCCTTACGCGTTTAAGCAATCACATTGGCAGAACATAATAACAATCTACCTAGTTTTTCTACGTTCAGTCGCCTGTACAGCCAATAAAATTTAATTTGGTGGCTGGTTTGTTGCAAATCGTACCGATTAGTCAGAACTTAGTAAGACATAAGATATCAGTGTTAAGCTTGTTTTAAGTAACGGTTTAAGAACTTTATTTCTCATAAGAATTAACAATAATTCACTTCCTGAGAAACATTTCAATTTAAATTATTTAAACATAATGAGTGTACGACTAATTACAAACAAAATCAAGGTAACTATCAACATTTAAACAAAAATAAAAATAATGTGACGGTACACAACAAAAAACTTCGAGCCAAAGCATAACGAGTCACCACTAGAGATGGGTTTCCACCCGGGTAAAAACCCACATGAGGGTAAAAACCCAATAAAAACCCGTTTCATTCCACCCGTGGGTGTTTACACCGGGTGAAAACAAATAATTTTATAATTATTTCAATTGGTATCTTTTCTTTATTTTTATTGAATTTTTCTCATTTAAGTTTATTGATTAATAAGTAATAAGTCAAATCTAACACTAATATGCATTTATATCGTGGCCAAATCGTAAAATTGATCACGTTATGATGATGTGACCAATTATTTTATAAAATGGTGTTATTTCAAGAATATTTGAACCGATTTAGAAGAAATTTAGTAAGAACACAATAATTTGTGATCATGGCAAGGACATGGGGGGGGGGGGGGGGTGATGCCAAAGATGCCAAACTCTCTCTTTGATGACATTACGGTATAAAGTTACAAATAACAACACCAACTACAAAGTACTTCTGCTTAAAAACTTGAAATCGAACCGCCCTTCCGCCACTGTAACGCATTGTAACGTTTTTCAAGACCTCCTCTCCCCCCAGATTGCATTACGTAACACTAGAACGCCCCCTTAGCAACAAATACCACTTCTCACTTTAAAAAAACGCTATTTTTGTTTTCACCCACCCGATTGGGTTAAAACTGGGTGATTTGGGTAAAAACCCGGTTTTTACCCAAATCACCCAGTTTTAACCCAATCGGGTGAAATGGGTTTTTACCCACTACCCATCTCTAGTCACCACACGCCAGTCAACCGCGGATGTAATGCGCACTGAGCGAACTTTGTAAATTGGATGCGGCATATTAAATGGATTGTAAAAATAAATGGTTGTATGCAATAAATGTCATTTTAATTGTGTAGAGAATTTGACGTATTTGTATTAGATTAATTAATAAAATTTAATTGTTATAGATGTTTAATTTATTGTTAATATAGCAAGTAGGTACGAAAAATACATGAAATACTTAACATTTTTTTTATTTCTTTGTCGGGGGTTTTATCTTAGATCAACACTGTTTTTCCGACGAAATTCATAGCGGACAATCTTTTATGAGGGAAATCCAATTTTGCATAACGGTATCATTGGGACATTTAGCTATTGGAAGAAGTATTTGGCTGCCTTTCTTCTACAGGGTGTTAGGTAAATGGGTATATGAGCCGACACTAGCCCATGTTAACATGGTCATATAAATGGTATGGTGAAGTCAGAAATTTGAAATCGTCATTTTTATTTTTTGAATTTTCATACAAAATAAATTTTATAAAATACGATTTGTATGAAAATTAAAATAATTAAAATGAAGATATTAATTTTCTGACTTCAACATACCATTTATATGCCCATGTTAACATAGGCTAGTGTCGGCTCATATACCCATTTACCTAACACCCTGTATACTAGGTACCTATTTATTCCCGATAGATACTGTAAGGCGGTATTGTGTAAGGTTAGGTTCTTAGGGAATCATAGTAACCTACTTAGTATTAGTTCCCTAAGTTATTCAGTCCACTAATGAACGTCTTCGACCAATATAGGCTACCCAATATTCTATTCATTGCCAAGGACTGCTCGTCCATTTGCCTTGACTACCTAGACCTAACATTTATCGTCGATCCACTTAACTAATAACCATTCTGTGACCAAACTGAGGGTGTCCTAAAGCTCCGTGTGGCGATTACACGATAAGTTTAGCACCAAAGTTTTATATTCTACTTATATAAAAATGTATAGTATTACTATCTAATAGTACCTAAACAACATTAACAAATTCCATGTTTGAGGATGAACTCGACTTCTTAACACTACTTACATTATAGCGCTGAAAACAGTTTTCAATTGGTTGTAAAATTTTAACCAAACCAACGCATGCAGCTCGCGTCGGCGATCACTGCGCGTGCTAGAATCGCCGCGACCAATGACAGGACGCGTTGATGTGAACTCATCGCTACAATTTTTTATGGACTATGACAGTCACTTTGGTTCTTCTCATTTCTGATTCGATCTAAATAACACGACTAATAAACAAATGTTTCTTACAGGCAACCCGCGCAACAAATGCGCGCTGCAGCCGGGCCACAGTCTGATGGACTGGATCCGCCTGGGCAACTCCGGGAAGGACCTGACTGGAGTTGGCGGCCGCGTGCGCCCCGTCAGCCCTGCGGAGCTCGCCTCGCACAATACACAAAGTTAGTCACTATAGAGATTTACTTAGGGTTCTGAACAGGTTAAAAAGAAATAAGCCCTTCGAATATCAATCACTTACCTTACTGGTCATAAAACCATGTACTTTATAGTTTGGAACTAACTACCTAAGTAGACCATACTGTCTGATGCGCTTTCTCGTCGTCGACTTTGCAATCAAAGTGTAGGTACCTACTGTGTGTCAACACTAAAGTTCCACTTAACTTCATTAAAACAACAGAGTAACAAACAAGAAGTTTCTATTGCAAACTAACAATAAAATCAATACAGAAAACTTTACGCAACTTTCATATTATTGTTTCAGAAGACGCGTGGTTAGCGATCCGGGGGCGAGTATACAACATCACACATTACTTGCCTTACCATCCCGGAGGTGAGCAATATTTTACCAAAACGTCAATATTTATTTACTCTACGGGTATTGAAAGCTATTGAAAACACAATCCAATTTCTTTCTTATTTATAGGCCCCGAGGAACTAATGCGCGGCGCGGGAATAGACGCAACACAGTTATTCGACAAAGTCCATCCATGGGTAAACTACGACTCACTTTTAGCGAAATGTCTCGTGGGACCACTTCGATTCGATTTACCAGACGCTGAGGAGTTGTTCGATTCCTCGAACCCCTCGCCCAAGTCGGATCGGCTTAGAGAACCCTCTAAAGCGCAAGAGCTCGTCAGAAAATCGATGGAAAACTTAGCTAATTGCATAACGCCGGTCAGAAAGAAAATTTCGTCCAAAAGCGAGGAGAACATGAAAGGCAGTCCGCCGAGTAAAATCATGCAGAGTTTGATACAGTCCAGTGATTTGCCGGTTTCGATAAGTCGTAGAGCTGCGTCTAGTCCTATTAAAAGTTTAGATAAATCTGAGGTTCCACCTTTGAGGTACGATTGGATTCAGACGTCAATGAAACTGACTGTGTCCGTCTACACGGGCCCCTTGGCCAACCCGGGCGGGTGTGCGAGAATAACGGAGGGCGTCTTGCTAATTGAAGTGGCGACTAACGGCTGGCTTAGAACGCTCAAGTTGGTGCCCGAGGGAAAATTGCAGGGGCCTTTGCAGCTGCGGATATACGCCGAGAGTGGAAAAATAGATGTGAGTTTAATTAATTAACATTCAACAACAGCTTTAGATAAAAACTGATACCAAATTATTTCTTGGAGTAATTCTACAAAGCTAATAACTCTACATAAAGATTTCTGAAAAAAGTTTTTTACCTGATTACTCTAGAAGGAGGGTTATGTTATTTGTTGCTAACATCATTAATAATGATGATTAATATGTTCACTATCATTGTCATCAGGCCTTGTTTAGACTCAACTAAGTATGTAGGAACACGACCCTCTCTAGTTCACTAGTGGCAAATGGAGGATTTATCTAGCCTCTTCACCATGTCCAGATAAGCTGGGGTCTACTGGGGTGACATGACTAACAATATTGATGTTAAATTAATTTCGTTTTTAGGTGATAGCCCAAAAAGTTGAACCGCAAGTGTGGAAAGCGTGCGGAGAAGTGACTATAGGTGTACCATCGCTCGTGTCGTCACCACGAAGCGTGGACTGCCGCGTGGTGGGAGTGGGCAGTGTGACCCATGACACCACCATGCTGGCACTGGAACCCCGCTCAGGACCTGTAGTCGTGCCGTTGGGACACCACGTGCGAGTCCACAGAAGAGTCAGCGGTAAGGAATTATCTTATTTAGTTAAAGCCAGGATACTCGTACAATAAAATAGTGCATTATTTGTAGGAATTTAGCAGTGATAGAGGGGTGGATAGATGCTAGCATTCTCGGTCGGACAATATGTAGACAACGTGTTAAGCAACCTATGCTACGGTTGCACTCGCAACCTAGGTAAAAGGAAAATCTTGACTATTTTTAACATTAACTCAATGATTTTTAATATCATTTATGACAAGCATTAAGCATCCCCCCGTTGGTCCTGAAAAGTTAGCCCGCTCATATCATCATTATATTGGTATAAATGAAAATTAATATAAACTTTAAAATAAACACTTTAATTATATGTATTTCCCATAAATGAAATCTCTACCCAATTGTTGTAGTGAGATCTGTCTGCAGTGGGACGTTGATACTTAGGTTTTCTTTTCTTTTGGGCAACTATCCTACTTAATATTATAAATGCGAAAGTTTGTATGGATGTCTGTATGTTTGTTACTCTTTCACGCCAAAACTACTCAACAGATTTTGATTAAACTTTACAGAATAACATATGAGGCTATAATTTATGACGATCTGTAACAAACTATTTCACGCGGGTGAAGCCGCGGGCAAAAGTTAGTTTGATTATAAGTCTACTATTTTTTTTTGTTATGTTAAATATCTCCACAATCCGTAAAATTATGTTACTTTGTTCTCGCTTTGTTCTATTCAGTTTGCATGTTAGTTCAAATACCAAGCGACATTGATTAGGAGCTACTTGATAATCCTTCCACGTCGTCTCGTTAGATCTTGGTCGGGGCGGGTTTGACGTCATTCGTGTCTGCATTAACCTAAATTGACGACGTTATTGATCAATGAACGATGATTCAGCTTACAACTGCTGTGTCGCGATCAGGCAGTCTAGGTTCGATTCCTAGATGAAACACGCATATTTTGGTTAGGAATTGCAGACTTAAAGCAACGTCATCTTTTTAAAGAATATACTTATGTCCAGTCCACTATCAACTATGTAATGTACACAACTTTATTTTGAAGTGAACTCATTGCGCAAAAGACAGTCGTTTGCGATCTCTAATAAATATTCTAATAGAAAGATTCTATAGCTATCAGGGTTCGAAATTATCAAGATAATTAAGCTTCATGATAATTATCAACAGTATAAGATACATTTGTCATATTGTTTCATAAGAAATTCTGATGTTACATTGTTTTACTTTTAAGTCGAGTTATTCATTTCGAATGTTGCTTTATGTTTTGGTTGCTGATTGTTGTCAAGTTATTCCTCACTAGTCGCATAAAGCGTTGTGGAAAACAGATAAATATTTTGACGCTAGATAAAGTGATTGTTGTGGAGCTAAATAGATTTTTATAACTATCTATGTTGAATAACGACCACACCACTAGACGCAATGGCGGAAATACACGTTCGAAAACTTCGAATACAGCTCACTTTCACAAGCGCATTTTTTTGTTATTATCAACCGATAATTATCCATTTGTTATTATCAAGATAATTATCATGATAATTATCGTGATAATTATCATTGATAATTATACTTTCGAACCCTGATAGCTATGTCTTAAGAATATACTACTCAGTATAGGTAAATTAGATTAATCGTTATTAATTACCCGGGTCCATATTCGGTTGCATAAAAAATATTGTCATAATTTAAGAGTGCATAAAGTTTTTTGGCATACTCATCATTTCGCATAACGTTCATACAGAATAAATCATAATGCATATTTTTTTTTGCCATAACCACTTTTATTATAATAATATTTTAGTATATATTTTTTCTGTATTCTTGTTTTTTTTAATAACGATTTCTAGGCATAACATTTATTGGCATCTAAACCAATGCCATAAATATTACCATTCATAATATACAAAATACCATAATTTTAACAAATATGAAATATAAAAATGTTATACATATAAAATATAAGTTAACAAATATAAATAGACAAGCAAGCATGCAAACAAGCATGCAAGCAAGCAGCAAGCATGCAATCAAACAGCAAGCATGCAAGCAAGCTGTAAGGAAGCATGTAAGCATGCATGCAAGCAAGGATGCAAACAAGCAAGCCTGCAAGCAAGCAGCAAGCAAGCCTGCAAGCAAGCAGCAAGCAAGCATGCAAGCAAGCATGCAATCAAGCAGCAAGCACGCAAGCATGCAAGCAAGCAGCAAGCAAGCATGCAAGCAAGCAGCAAGGAAGCACGCATGCAAGCAAGCAAGCAAGCAAGCATTAGGATTGCCTTATCTCCGGCGCTGCGGGAAGTGCGGTCCTTCCGCTCTGGCGTAACATATACCCGGCATGCCATGCTCACTTCCACTCCCTCCGCGCCTCCGGCTTTTAAATTACACTCTAGTATAGGGCAGACTAGTACCACGTGGAAGAGACCACGACCAGTCGGGATCAACATAATTTCAGACCATTTCATTCCATCATTTCCATGCCTACTGAGAGGGCACCCTAATTATCCAGGTATCAAGGCGAACCTGAAGGTTAACGTAAAGCCGAAAGGTTAATTGAAAACCAATAAGACGATTTCAAGTCCCAATCACTCCTCCTTTGGGTATCCAACACTAGAAACGACTTGCGATCCAATTCAGACTATGTAAAAGAAATCAATTAAAAAGAAAGAAAGCCGGTCAAGTGTGAATCGAACTCATATAATGAGGGGTTTGTACCTTAGGTAGTTAGGTACATATTCCTTCAACAGCATATATTGGTATAATTTCCTAGAAGAGACGAAATATCAATTTCGTGTCAGTTCTGATGGTAAAAATCATTGACGCATCCCAATGCGCCGTGATATATCTGCCTACTTACTTTATCGACGTCAAAATGTATGGGCAAAATCGATAAATTGCGTGATAACCGCTTATCGCGGCGCGCATCCTAGGCCTACATATCTTACCACACTAAGTAAATTGCTAGTATCGCAGTACGAACTATACCTATTGCTATAATACAGTTAACTGACGGCTGCTGGTGCAGTAAGGCTCTGGAATGGATGACATGTATTGGTAGATGTCCTTCTAAAGGTTTCAGGAAACCACTGGATGCAGGCTGCTTCCAATCAGTCATTATGGAAATCATTGGGGGACATTAATCATTTGTGCAATGACAAAGTTACCAATAATAAAAAAAAAACTTATTACTTGTTATAGGTTCGGAGTGCGTGCGGTCATACACTCCTGTCGGGGAGGGCTGGTGCTCTCTGGACAGCGGTGCAGCGCTGAGGCTAGCTGTTAAGAAGTACCCCACGGGTGCACTCTCGCCACACCTCACTACGTTGAGGAAAGGCGACTCCGTTACGCTGTCTGGGCCGTATGGCAGTTTTCAATTGCAAAAGGTAGTGTATTTTTTTCATTTGTTTACTTTTTGTTTATTTAGAAGGACTAACAATCTCACCCTAGCGGTTCTAGATGTGATCAATGGTAGAGCAACCCTTTGGGTATTTTAGTTAGTTAATTTAAAATTAAATGTGGTAAATTAGTTGTTATGAATACCTACTTTTAAATACCAAAGGTTGAATATTGAGTCTTTTGAGTTATGGGTTCGATTCCTAGATGGTATGCGACATTACATAATTAATTAAAACAAAAAAATGCCTTTGTTTTAATTATTTTCAATGTAATGACGACCTAAATGTGTATTTGTTTTTTATTTTCAGCTAAAAGCAGTGAAAAATATTTACTTCATAGCAGCCGGTACGGGTATTACACCTATGCTGGGATTGCTAAAGTTTATGCTCTCGAGGTCCAATCCAAGATGGTAAGCGCACATGTCTTTTTTATTTTTCAATCAACTATAAAAAAAAAACTAGAACAAAATATCACTTCGTAAAAACTAGACTTGAGTCCCTGAGACGACTTTCCACAAATCATGTTATTAATATAATCCATTAGGATTCCATGTTTGAAATCTAACACCAACAAGTCGTACTAAGGGCTAACAGCCCACAACCCTCTACTATATGGAAGGTTAATTCGACCCTTTGATATCCTTGAAATAACGTAGGACGTAACGTAATGCCAAACGTCAATCCCTCACTCGACAACAATCCCACTTGATCCACGCTTGTTTGAATCAAAAGGTGCTGTACAACCCCTCACACCAATCGGTTGTTCGTCACTCCGCATAAATCTAAAATGGTAATATTTTCGTTTCAGCGAACGCGCTCATTTGTTATTCTTCAACAAAACGGAGGACGACATTCTTTTCCGCGATAATTTTGAAACAATAGCGAAAGAGGATAACAGGTAAAAAGCTTACAATGAATACTTTGTGATTTATTTTAATTCGTTTGATCTATAGTCATTCGTTAGCATAAAAAGCAGTTTATTTTGTTTTTCCTTGACATAGATTAAGTAAAGTAAGATGGTAATAGAGACTAAATTGGAATGAAATGTACCTACATATTCAATACCTACTAACTAATATACAGAGTTAATTTATTAAAATAAAATGCACTCACTAAGCTACTCACTATCTGCTATCACTATACAAGTTGATACAATAGTGATTAACCATGTTCGTTTTTTTCTAGATTCGCTGTGACACACGTTCTATCAGACGCGAAGTCTGGCTGGTCCGGCCCGAAAGGCCGCATCAGCTTCGAACTCCTTACTCAGACTCTGGGCAAAGAATCCCTCAAGTGTGGGGACTCTTGCTCCCACTTTGTGTGCGTGTGTGGCCCCACCGAGTTCACGCAGGCAGGCCTACAACTGCTGAAGAAGTGCGCACTTAAAGACGATTGTGTACATGCATTTATGGGATAACTTGTAAATAATAAATTAGGTACAGTCGACAACACAAGCAACGCGAGCATTAGTTGAATCACGTAGGTGTACGTACCGCATCCGTTGTAACTGTCACCTCGCCATAATCTACGGCTCGTCGCCATTTTTAATATCTCAAGGTTTACGGGAATTAACACCTTATGCGACAGGGATACAACCTGTTGCACATGGTTGTATTTCCCTTGCTATTAAAGCCATACATATTTTAAGTATATCTTTGAAGATCTTCGAAACTTATGTTACACCACAGAATAAGTAATAGTACAGGTACAGAAGGATTACTCCGCAAGACGATTTAAATAAATGCGAGTCTTGCTACGACGCGATACAGTGGAATTCAGCTCGCACAGCACTACGTACTTACAATTTCATTCACCTACAAGTTTTGTCTCTTTCTATCGCGTGCCTCTGAACTCTTCTTACGCTGCTAGGGTTGCTATGCTGTCTAGTGAAAAAATAGAATTAATCTACTTAGGTAGATTATTTCTATACTTATTTGTAATGAGGTACGTATGTAGGTAAGTATTAGTGTTATTTTACCTTTGTAAAAATAACATTTTAAATATACCTACTTAGGATAAAAAAGTACTTATTTTAATACAATGTCTTCATTCATACCTATTTTAACATAAGACAAATAAATTAAACATACCTACTATCACAGATGAAAGAATGACATCATACCTACCTACTTACTACCTACGCAAACACGAAACGGCTACATCATAGAACGAGAGGCATCACCCGAAAATCATATTTGTATTTGGCTTTGCACAAACTTAATCTAATGTTACTCGCTGTACTTTGGCAACAATTTATTTTTTACTGAATATTGTTGGGGTACCTATGCATTATGGTAAAAGAACTAGCTTGTCGTAATTTGGTGTATCGATGTTACTCTTCCGTTTCATTTACCTACACGGAAAGGTAATAGTTAATATTTTAACGATAAAATTCTTAAAACATCATAAATTGTATTCAAAAGAAATTATTTATTAAAGGCAAAACATCAAGTCCCGACGGGCGTGCGCGTGACACTCGACTGATATAATACCCGCCGGCGGGGCGCTCCGCTGTAGGTAATTATCGGATGTACCGCGCGGAGTGAGCCAGGCCTGGTTACACTATTACGACTAGTAAGGTCACTACAAGAACCTATGCGTCTCACATGAGAGCACTAAGTGTTCTTAGATTTCTGAAATTCTTTTCACATTGATTTGTTAATAAAATTGTAACATAATACTATTATGATAATAGGTATTTATTTCTCGACGTACCTACCTAAAAGATCTTTTAAAATAATCTACACATTTCAGAATGTGATGAATTTTAAAATCTTAACTAACGTTAGTATTGGAGATAGTATTAAATTAACCCATGAGTGAGAAACTAATTATACGTCACGTAATAGATTCATGAGAAAATTCAAACATATTTTTGAATGTAATTAGACATTTCGGCCAAATGTTAAGACGCACTTAAGACAAAAATTAATGTATTTCTGCACTTTCATTAGATTTAAAACAAACGTGTGATAAAATAGTTTTTATAAAATGTTAACAAAATTGTGTTAGATTTTAGAATATTTTTTTATTGTAAAATAACTAAAAATGTCGGTATCAAATATGTTACTTATTTGATTGTAGATAAAGACACACAATACATTTCCGATATTCCTGCGAACGTGAAATTTTCACAGGGTTAAAGCTCGATAAGAATGGCTGTACCTGATTGTAAAATCCGTAGTTATTACTAAGTATTTAAATTATTCCATCCATCTCTGATTCTTTAAAATGTTTCAATAACTGTATATATTTTATATAGTGAAAAATCTGTTATTATCTTGTAATTGTTAAATGGTAATTATTTCAGCAAATCAAATACAAGCCGGTAGTTTTGCAGGATATACCAGTTACGTTTGCCGCTCGTAGCTCCATTGCTCGGTGGAAGCGTGTCATGGTCAGCAAACCTATAGATCTAGACTTAAAATAAAATGTCCACAAATCAGTCTTGTATCTTTCGAACCGGACAGCAAGGTACTTTTACATATCATTCTCCATCCTACGCCAAAGAAATCAAGCCAAGTAATTGAAAAATTATCACTGTTACGGGATTTTGCAAAAAATCACGTAGTAGTTTGTAGGAGTGTCTCTGTTCCACTGTAGTACTTATTCTTATCTATGGTACCACTGACGAAAATATTGTGGAAATGCGGATGGGTGAAGAAATTTAATCGCGCCCGAGCAGACGACGCCGCATCTCTTCAGTCTGCCCGCGACCATGACTCGTGCAACCGAGTAGAAACCGCGTCGGGAGGGCAAAACCTATCTGTTTACCGTTTTAAGTGTTTTTCTTTTATTGCAAAATCTTGTGACAGTGATAATTTATAGTAAAAATGCAGCATAATAGTTTAAAATATTATACATAGTAACTAGTTTTTGCATTTGTGGCTGGCGTTAATTTTACTCCACCGCATCTGTATCACTTGTATGAATAGTTTTATCTGTACAATTGTAATAAAAATACACAAATAGAAACTCAATATTCACTGGTTCGTTTTCTATCAGTGGTTTTTTTTTTTCAAAAATTTGTGACGCTTTTGTTTTTTTCTTTCATACTAGTTTCTTTAAAGCAGACATCTTTAGCAGAAGTCAATGCTCGTAGCCCTTTCCCTTTCCCTCTAAAAAATACTTTTATTAAATTCTATAGGTACTCGTACATAGTTGTCGATAAGAAAATATTTTCTAATCACTTTCTCTTACACGTGTACATTAAGAATAGTGTAAAATGTATGATAGTTACAATGTAAAAATATAATTGTAACATTGCGACTTTTGTATACTAATAAGAGTTTGGTTTTATATTAGTTAATTTTGCTGGTTATTTTAATGTGTATTTAAAAAGTGCCTACATTCCAGGTGAGATATTTTTGTTTTAAATTTGGTATTGTTATTATATCATTTGGAAAAATAATAAATAGTTTTAAATAACTGGAGTTTAATAATTAAATACCCTCCACTATTTTATCAAAGTTATGAAAAGTGAGGCAACTTACTACAAAAAAAGAGTGTATTGAAAATAAAACCAAGTAATAAGGAAGGAACGTTATTATTATACAACAAAACATATAATACACATTTTGAAGTAAATGCTTGTACAGTCCTTTTCTCAATGCATCGCACCTTCGACCCAACCAACTGAACATTTGATAGCTAACATTTAATTTGTATTTACATTACAACAGATGGCCATACAAACCTAGTGTAAGTACAAACAGAAGCAAACATTATTATTATACAATTATGCCGACTGCTGTTCAAAAATGTGATATTTTACTACACAATTCGGAATCACGTGAATTCACATAGAATACTTTTTTTCACAATGTAATCACAATGAAACGCATTCCGGATAAAAACTCAAAATGCACAACTGTGACATTTTTAAATTTAAAATTAACAGATAGATATTATATAGTTTATGTGTTATTTTTATGTAAACTTCCTTGATTTATTTATAATGCTAACTTACTAAATACCGATGGATAACTAACATAGCACTACATATGCAAACGTGGACCCAAACTACAACACGGTACTTACAAGAATTGGCTCATTGCGCGTTTACATCTTCACAATTTACATTTATACCTGTTTCACATTTAAGAGTATATTTTACATCTAATTATAATAATTTGGATGTATGTGTGGGTCCACTGGAAAAAGCATTGAATGAAAAAGTATAACATAATAAAATTTGTCTTTTAAATTCTATAAAGCATCCTCTGACAAAGTATCAATAATTTTAAAATAAAATTATTATTAAATTAAAAAAACAACCCCCATTCATGACGACTTAAAATAACCTTTTTGACTTCCACAAAAAAATCGTGTAACAAACAATTTTTAATTACTTACTATCTATTAATTTATATCCACGTTGGTAAAAATAAATTATAACATCAATATCAAAAGTTTTACTTGATAAAACAAGTATTCTAGGAATACAGCAAAGGCAGCCTGGAGAAATATAATAGACCGCTAAAATATTAGTTTGAAATAAATATAAAATTATGCATTAATTGGGACCAGCCAAAATATTGAATCACTCCAACGAAAACACTACAACTATAAGATAGGTATTATGTTATAAAAACAAATCTTAGCACACAATAGAAACTAATGTTCTGTAAACTATCTGAGAATCAGCACAGCAATACCAAGTAAAATAGGCTAATTGACAAGTAACTTAGTATAGTACCTTTAGGTTAAATATAGTTTTTCTAGTTATTAATAACTGTACACATTGTATAGCAAAGGATTGTTACAAAAGCATGTCATTATTTGAGCAACATCGTAAGGGCATTTAAAATACATTTCATACAAGAAACGTAAATTCAAACATTTAAAAAATCCAAATATGTAATATGTAAGTCAAGTAGCCTATTTTCTGATATGTAGATTTGAGATGTCATATTTTATGACGATTTGCTAATTGAGGGCTACATACTATTCACCTTCTTATCCACTCGGCAACACATATGAGGTTACTGAGACAAGTATAAGTATAATTCAAAATGTTTTCTATTTCATTATCAAAAACTTTTTAAAAGTTTTAAAACAAATTCAATTTTACATGGCAACATATAATTTTATACTCAATACTTATAAAATCAATATAAGTACACAATGGCATATTTATCTGCCTCCATTTATGTGACGTTTTACGCACGATTTAATTTTGAAATAACTATACAAATCTGGAAACCATGTATTTATTAGAAATTATAATAGTGTGGATTAATATTTTAAAAAATAAAGAATTATTTCTTGTATTCTATAAGGTAGGCAGCACATTCTACGTGTGTCCAAGTTCGCATAATATGCTTTATGTAATGTGAATGATTATGTATAATAAAGACGGGTTATTTTTCTTATAATGTATTGCACTATTACCTAAACATTCAGATTACCAATAGGGATAGGAATGAAGTTTGAATATATCAACTGCTAGGTGCTGCATTGAGTTTTAAAACATTTATTCACAGATTTGTATTTACAAATCAAGACATCCTTCATTCACGTTTGGTTCATTACAGCCAAATTGATAATATCTCATTGTATTGGCGTAGGGTTAATCAACAAGAAATGTAGAAGTACAGTTGAGAAAGTCTCACAGCGATATTATTGAATTTTAGCGCTAAAAATGACACCAATGTTGATAGAATGTAAGGGCCAGGTTGTCAAAAACTTACACAGTAACTCAGACTCCTGTTTCGAATTGTACAGACACTAAAAAACTGGGAAAATTTAAAACTTTCCAGGAAAAAATTCGAGTCGCAAAACAGTCTAACTCTGCATAAGTTTTGGCCACTATACCGGACCTTAGTTTCCTTGGTGATTAAACATACACCGATACGTATGGTTCGGAGAGTTTTAAACCAAATTGTGTATTTGGTCCATATTCGATACGTTGAATTGACATTGCTTGGCTTATGCATTCACGTCGTTCACAAATAACACGTCGCGGTCCTTCAGGCCGACATCGGATAGGTGAGAGGCGCCGCGGGCTAGCACTCGTTTAGGGAAGTTGGTCGTGATCTCAAACTCCTCGGGAGATTGTGGGTGGCTGAACACGAAATCGTATAGGTCCTGCAAAGATATTAATATGCTTATATTCCAGACTGATGATGATTTTCATCTATACAGTGTTTGTATCTACGTACTAAAGCCTGGTCCGTGAGCGACCAGGCTTTAGATACAATACGCTGTCTCACGCACGCAAGTGAAAGGCAGTCACGTGACATCGTTATGAGTGAAACGAGTCGTTCGTACCGCAGACATAATAAATATTAAATGTTTTTCCTACCGTCTTTTATTTTTTCAATTTTCATCGACTATTAAAAGTTTTATATACCTATCCCTAATGCTGAATTTGATTGATCTGAAAGTAACTTTATTTGAATAGATCTAAGATGAATAGTTAATTGACGAAGTATCGGTTTAGTGAATCGTTTGGAGGCGAAATGTCTAATGACGAACTGTGCTGTCGACGAATCGTACGCTGGTGAAAGGTTCTGTTGGCGAAGCGGCGGTACGAAATGTTGTGTCGGCGGGCAGTCATGTGAAGAAACAAATGTCGGCGACCAGTTCCAGATTCATTCGTGACCATACACAAAACCGTGAAAGCCAAGTTCTCTTCATGAGAAAAATACGGCATTTGCAATTTATCAGAAGAAAATAGGAGCATCTCCACCTTCCCATGGCCCCAACACAAAAAGAGCAAATTAACGGTTATACCTGGCCGAAAATAAAAAAATAAAAACTAAACTAAGAGAAGAAAATAGAAACAGTGGACTGCCACTGGTTGAAAAAACAAAAGATAAATGTACAAACCTGCGTGGTGTGCGTGAGTGTGAATCGGCGCGTGAGCCGCTCGCCGCCGGGTAAGCGGATCAGCAGCGCCACCGTGCCTGCGCCCGCCGACGGCTCGGGCGGGAGGCGTGCTGCCATGGCCGAGCGCGCTGCTATCAACTGCGAGGAGAAACAATATCGTTAAAGCCGACATATGGATGGATAACAGACGCCAGCGAAGTTAATGAACGAGCATAATGAGTTGTCAATAGTTTGCATGAAAAGAAACTTGGGTAATATTTTTCAAGTCAATTTATGTTCTGCTTTTCAAAGGTTGTTGATTTTTCGCCAACTAGGCGACTCAATAAGTCGACGAACGAGAGGAATAGGAGTCAGATGAGCCGCGCCGCGAGGCCTGCGTAAGTCAATTGATTTAATATCAATTAGTATTTTTCCTAATAAAATTCTGGATGAGGCTTCTGTGCCTGAAAAGTTTGAACATAAAAACAAAAATAAACTGATTCAACCTTTTTATTACTGGATGGCCGCAAAAGACTGGCTAAGATTGACTGGGCCTATAGACACTCCAGGTCTTGTTTGGACCTGGAAGGTCATCCCACTTACGTCTCGCTTGTGTGTGCTTCTCCTCGAGCTCACGACGGCGCAGGTCTTCGTTCTCCTGCTGCTGGCGCGCGGCCCTGTCGGCGGCCTTACGCCGCTCCTTCTCCTAGTCGGCGGCGGGAGACTGGCTAAGGTAGACTGGGCCTATAGACACTCCAGGTCTACCCAGCTTGGACCTGGAAGTCATCAAGCTACTTACATCTCGTTTGTACTGCTCCTCGAGTCACTGTCGGCCGCCTTGCGCCACTCCTTCCGCGGCGAGACTGGGCCTATAGATACTCCAGGTTTTGCTTGGACCTTGAAGTCATTCGACTTACGTCTCGCTTATGCATCGAGTTTGGCGACGAGAGACTAGACCTATAGTCACTCCAGGTCTACAGCTACTTACGTCTCGCTTGTGCGACGCAGGTCTTCGTTCTTCTGCTGCTGACGCGCGGCTCTGTCGGCCGCCTTGTGCCGCTCTTTCTCCTGGTCGGCGGCGAGAGACTAGGCCTATTAACACTCCAGGTCTTGCTTAGACTTGGAAGCTCATCAGACTTACATCTTGCTTGGACCTATAGACACTCCAGGTCTAACCAGCGTGGACCTAGAAAGCATCAAGCTACTTACATCTCGTTTGTACTGCTCCTCGTGTCACTTCTGAATGGGTCGGAAGACTGGGCATAAAGACTCCAGGTCTTGCTTGGAGCTGGAAGTTATTCCGACTTACGTCTCGCTTGTGCTTTCCCTCGAGCTCGTGGCGACAAAGGTCTTCGTCCTCCTGCTAGCGCCACTCTTCTTCGAGCTGGGGTGGGAGACACGCTGAGGTTGACTGGGCAAGGTCTACCTGGTGTGACTCCAGGTCTACCTAGTCGGACTTACATCTCGCTTGTGCTTTTCTTCGAGCTCGCGGCGACGCAGGTCTTCATTCTCCTGCTGCTGGCGCGCGGCCCTGTCGGCGGCTTTGCGCCGTTCCTTCTCCTGGTCGGCGGCCAGTGACTCGGCGTAGGCCTCGTCTTGGGCCTGGCGGAGGCGGGCTGTCACTTCGCGCTCCACCCTGTGAAAAATATTTAAGAGTAGTACAAGATTTGATAAAAATAAATAACGAAATAGAGACAGTTTTCTGCTCAGGGGAACTCTCGACCTCAGTCGACCCAGTTTTTTTAGCAAGATTAGCAAACAAAATAAGACAACTTCTACTCTTCACAGAATGTCGTAAGAGGCCTACCCAAACCCGTCTTACATCGTGAGGAATGTAAGTCAAACCCTTCATTTGCCTTTGGTAAATTGGATGTGGACAGGGGAGACTAAATGACTGCTATTAAGCCAGATCACTATAAAGTATATATCATACCTGTCTGCGCGAGCAGCGGCGCAACGCAGTTCGTTGTACGGCGAAACCAAGTAAACTGCTGATATAAGGTCATTACGAACATTAAAACGAACATTACGGCTGGTTTTAGAGTCACGCTGACGCATGCTGACCGTCGGCGCTGACGGCCAAAATGTATGAAGCGTCGGCGCCGAGTGATCAGCGTCACTCAAAAACGTTTCCTTCAATTACATACATATTGATCTGTCAGCGCCGACGATCAGCGAGCGGTCAGCGCGATTCTAAAACCCGCCTACCTGTCGGCGCGCGCGGCGGCGAGGTGCGGCTCGTTGTCGGCGACGACGCGGCGCAGGCGCTGCAGCAGCGCGGCCGCCGAGCACGCGCCCTCGCTGCGCGCCACCACCGTCATGCGGTGCTCGCGCACGCACACCACGCATAGCAGCGGGTACCTGCCAACAATGCTCATCTAAATATATTTAAAGGAGAAACTGACTGACTCACTGACATATCAACGCACAGCCTAAACGGATAAACGTAGGCACTTGAAATTTGGAAGGGACGTAGCTTAGGTACCGTAGAGGTGCACCAAGAAGAAATTCCCGAAATTCCCACGCACGGGAATTAGCGGGAAAATCCTTTTGTATGAAAAAAATCTAAACCACTTAAGTTAGACGCTTGAAATTTGCCATGCAGGTACCTTAGTAAACTTAAAGCTTAGTTACAACAAAACATTGCAAAATTCCCACGGGAACGGGAATTAGCGGGAAAAAACATTTGTATGATAAAATCGAAACCGCGTAAGATAGATGAAGGGGGTAAAACGGGATCCACGCGTACGAAGTCGCGGGCGGCTGCTAGTAAATCAATATTTATCATCAATCGGTAACATCACTACGCACACCACGCATAGCAGAGGGTACCTGCGAACGATGTTCATAAATAAATACACTCGGCGTCAATAAATCGCACCTCACGCGACAGTTACTTTTAAGATTTTCTTCTAAAACAAACATGGTTCTCCAACAATACTGGTGTTATTTGAAAGTCCAATCAATAAACTTAAAGAAAAAAACATTTAATCTGTATCTATAAAAGCGAAAGGTCACTGATTGACTGACTCACTCATCACGAATTCTCAGAAACTACAAGTGCTAAGTCTCTGGGGGTTCCTTTTAGAACGTAGGTGCTCACTAAAACGGGATTTTGCAAAATTCAACCTCTAGGGGGTAAAATGGGATCCACGCGTACAAAGTCGCGGGCGGCCGCTAGTAGTAAATATAAGTCAATCAGCGGAGCTACTGTGAAAAACATTGACCGAAGTTACGAATGTTGCCATCCCTCTCACGCAAAGCAAGATGCTAGCATGAGCCACGTAACAGATAGACCCAAAACTACATACGTGAACAGCGTTTCAGAGTAGCCCTACAGAACATGACGAACATCAGTATTCATGATAATTGATTTTCTTTTTAATGGCCTCTGTGCACACTGGTTTCACTAATAAGGATTATTCAAAGTTTATCATAACAAAAAAAAACCTTTACTCGATGCCAAACAGAAGTAATTTTTTTATCACTCCATTGTGTTTTAAAATAAAACACACTTCCTTGAAGCTAAGATGTGAGCATTTCAGCCAAAGAAAGTCTATTGCTGGAAGATAGCCCAAAGATAAAAATAAGGATAAAGATATGGACTAAAAGTATACCTGCGTCCACCTACAGACTGCGCCACACGCCAGCCCTCGGCTGTCTCAACCGAGCAGCCCCAGAACAGGGCATGAGTATTAATATACTGGATGACTTCAGGGTCTGCCAGGGTTGTCCTGAAAATAAAATAAGTCATGTCACAAAAAACACATGTCATGTTTGAAGAAAAAGGGTTGTGTTATCAAAACTTCAAGATATTTAGATACAGTCTCAGAATAACACATGACCCAAGAAATAAAGCAATCTGGTCTGTCTGTTATCAAAACTTCTGATGTTAAATTACTTAGTCTAAAAAGACAATCAAAGGTCCTATGACTCAACTAAACATCTGTATTTATAACTCTTTTGTGGCAGAATTTAATATTGAAACATACTGCACAATGTACCACATGAATTGAGACAAACATACCTGCAGAAGTTTTGTGTCTCAGTAGCAGACTCTGAGTGGAGGTATACAATGAGGAACCTTAGTTCATTCTTGGCATCATTGAGAGCCTGGGCATATGTGCCCTGGTAGAACACTGGGTGAGGGTTGAACCTCGACGTGTAGTTGTTTATGAAGCCCATCACGTCCCCTAGTGGGTCAGTCACCACTGCAACAATAATGGGAGATTATGAACGATTTGAATAGAAAAGGAGCATTATACTGTTCACAGTAGGTTTAGTTCTGTCATTTATTAGGTCTTTCCAGTACTAGGGCAATACTTATTCCATTAGGATTCTTATTAGAATTTGTAAATGTAATTATTTTATATCTTTACTTAATTTGCAACAAATTTTGGCGCTTCAGGTACAATTAATTCTAGGACTGAAATCTGTGCCAAACAGTCTGAATACTTACATCGCCTATCATCATTTCTTATGAAGCTCAGCAACAAATTTATAACGGAAGATAATGTGCTATAACACATTGACACAACGAAGTTAACCATATAGCGCAAGAGACCGCGGACGCCGCCTCCTGGGCCTTCCGAGGGCTCGTCAGTGAACACTTGCTGTGCTATGTGGTCATGCACCACGGGCGGCGCCCTCGCCTCGGTAGCGAAAACCGATGGCCGACCTTCCCTTATATTTAACTGCTCTTGAATCGCCACCTACGAAGGAAAAACACATAAGAACAAAACCAAACAGATTGACCTACAAAATAAATAACAACTTTCAAATTGACGAATCACATTTACCTCCAAGTCCCATTGGTGCCTCTGCAAAACATCTCTGCATATCGACATGTCTTCTATGCCAGTTAAATCTTGAAACTGAAGTATTTTATCAGTTTGTTCATGGGTCAAACCCAAAGCATTGTCTTCAAGATCCATTGCTTTGGCTTGGTGGGTATCCTAATTTAACAATTTAAATAGCAACTAACTAAAATAGGGTACAGTATATAAGCCTACATGAATATTCTTATCAGTACATATTTAATTGGAACTTTCAATCACTTTACAGGAAAATCGTATTATTTTGATGCAAATTCTTAAATATCACCAACCAACCAACAACCAAAACGGAATGAATGAATGAATGAGAATTGTAAAATGACGAATGAATGACATGACATGTCATCCATTCATAGTGTTGTTACCAAAACATTAAAAAACCGTAACCCAACCGTAAGCGAATCATCATAGATACAAAAGCTAATGAATGGAGCATTTATTTAAGATTTTTTTAACTTTGTAAACTTGATACAATACAGTTCAAAGTCCTTTTTTATTTTAATTGATTTTCAATAATAATTGTTCGTTTCGAAATGTGTAGAGCGTGTTCTGTGTGTGTAGAACTTGCGCTATGTCCGTATTATGAAATCAAACTAACAGATAAAAAAAAATAACTAGAAAACAAATATTTTGCTGTGCGGGAAACCCGCGACCTCTGGCATAGTAGTCCGTTAAAAACTATTACATCAAACGGCTGACGCAGTAAAAAACATGAGTTGTGTTGTGTTATTGACTTTATTATTTCTTTCCCTTCTTTGCAGCTGCTGCTGGTGCTGCTGGCGGTGCTGGCGGTGGAGGTGGCGTTGCAGGTGGCGGTGGTGGTTCCTCCTCCTCAATAACAGGATCAGGTGGTACGGATGGATCTTCATTTGGATCTTCGTATAAGTATTCCGTCTGAAAGTTTAGATAATTTTCATTGAAAAACACCCATAAGCACTGTTAACATAAGACCTTTGTGTCGTGTTAGGTACCTTGATTTCATTAAGTTCTGGTGCCAGATTAAACATGCTTTCTATGAAATCTTCATAAAATACATTTCCATCACCTCGAACATTAGCATCTCGGAGCATCTCTCTGGTTTCATCCGCATCAAATATATCTCCATACTGCGTGACAATGGTTTGAATTTCATCAATTTCTAGAAAGTCCCTTTTTTCTGTATCAAACACCTGTAAAACATTTAACATGGAGCATTATGTTAACTAAATAAATAATTTTAACATTTTTTGGTTGAAATTCAAGCCAATCAAACATAGCTTCTTGACTAGGCATCAAAATACACCCTGTATAATTGTGTGAACGAACCTTAAAAGCAAGTCTCAGCTCGTGCTTTAGGTTTGTTTCCAACACCCATTTGTCTAACATATAAATAACTTGTTCCTTGGTCAATGCTCTAAATACACCAGCTTTTAATTTTTCAACTTCAGTCATAATTTCTGCATATGAAGGGTAATGAAAACTTCTCTTATGAAATCTAAAACATTGAAATTCCACAAAAATAAAACGAATTTACAGAAAAAATAAATAAAGATTAGACAATTCTTGATACGATACTTCTTCAATTCTAAATACTTTATTAGGTTTTCAACACTTATTACATTTATTGGCTCTCCATCGTTAATTGATAATAAAGGTTTTGCAGTGCTATCGAACCACTCAATGATATCGGCTAATTGATCTTCAGTAAAACGTGGAGTAATACCACGTAGTGGATCAAAAACATCGAATACAGCCATTTTACAATTTGAAGGAATATGTGTTTATTATTTGAAAAATGCACCAAGTTTTATGTAAATTAATAAAAAATTTACCCGCGTCCAAACTTTTCAATTTATTTTGATTAACGATAATTGACAGTTTCCATGACTTGTGAAAATATATTATTTCTCAGTTTTTTTTCTGTTCAACAGAAAGGAGTCATTATGTAATAAATACAATCCGCAATGCCCGAACACGTATTTATTATTTATTTTTTACTCACACTGATGATTATCATGACCATCTTAACTTTGATTTTATAGAATTAAACAGCCTGTATAGAAAAAGAAAAAAACGGTTTAAATTATCGTATAGTTATCGTATCGCATCATATTGATAGTCAATTAATCGATACCATTTCGTACCAGAAGATTTGTCGTCTCTCTATTAAAAAAAACTGACAGTCATCTGTCAATGTCAATACGCTGTCAAATAAATAAAGTTGTTTGTTGCAGTTTCCCGGTGTAGTTGTATTATAAAGAAGGAAATTAATATTTTTCAAAGTTTTAAATAAATTAAAAGACTTGCATTTGAATGCAAGTAACTTCGTTACTAATCTTACATCAAAATGTTCGAGTCAGATGACTATGATCAGGTTGATATTATTTTTGTAACCTACTCAGTAAATTTTCCTTAGATAGAAACCTTAAATTAAAGAGAAACATATAAATTTTAAGTACTCTGACCATATTTTGCTTTAAAATAATATTTCATTCAACGTGGAGAAAAATAAGTATGAGTCCTAAATCCTAATCTAATCCTTGTGCTGTTGTTTTCTTTTAGATTTTGTCCCAGTTTGAACTGCCTGAAGTTTCATCTCATACTGAAGACAAAACTGTAATTGAAAGTACCAAAAACGTTAGAAAACCCCAATCTAATACTTTTAATGCATCAACCATTGAATCGGAGAATAAAATTGATTTAATCAAAGATGTTGAAGACATTTCATGTAAACAAACAGAGAGCTCCAGTAGAAAAAGTGATAGTGAAGTTTCTCCAAAGCACACGAAAAGAAAAATAATAGATTCCTATTTTGATCATAAGAGCAAACGAAAATTTCCTGGGCCAGCAGGCCTCTTGAATGGTAGCTTTAGAGAAAATAAAGATGAGTCAGTAGGCCAAATGGAATTACTTTCACAGGTAAATTTTGTTTACTTTTCTAATTTTAGTATTGCCTGGCTATGAAGCTTGCATTTTTTTTACTTGTTGCATTATAAACATTAGTATACTTTGTTATACAGGGTGTTTCTTGTAAGGTGTCAAGCCGAAGGCAGGTGATAGGTGAGGACTAGACCTATCGATTTCACCCCCATGTATGTTCTACGATTTTTCGTAGTTTAGAAGTTATAGTTAATTTTGTGATTTTTTCAAATTTCATGACCTAGTGGCTTAATTTTTTTTTTATCTTTTTTTTGGGTTGACTTTTCTCAGATTTCTTTTTTTTGACAGATTCCCTATTAGTTGCAGATATTTGAAAAAAATAATCACCTTCCTATCTTTGATGCAAGATACAAAATTTTTGCTAGAAACATAAAAAATATGCTTTTAGCAGAACATTCTAAAATAATGTTCTGCTAAAAGCATATTTTTTATGTTTCTAGCAAAAATTTTGTATCTTGCATCAAAGATAGGAAGGTGATTATTTTTTTTCAAATATCTGCAACTAATAGGGAATCTGTCAAAAAAAAGAAATCTGAGAAAAGTCAACCCAAAAAAAAGATAAAAAAAAAATTAAGCCACTAGGTCATGAAATTTGAAAAAATCACAAAATTAACGATAACTTCTAAACTACGAAAAATCGTAGAACATATATGGGGGTGAAATCGATAGTAGAGATGGGTTATACTAGGTAAATTTGATACTAGGTGCACCTATTCCAAGTATTTATTAATACGTGATCCAAATACCTGTTCCACTTAGTACGTAGTAATTTACCATACTTGACGCGACTAGTGCGGAGTGCGGACTAATCCACGTATTATGACTTAAAATACAATTTTCTTTGAAAAGATACAACCGTAGTATTAATAATGCAATTTGAAATTGAATAACTTGTAGAATNCCACCGTCGTCGCAACAGCAGCACGACGACGCAGCAAGAGCGTCGTCGACGAAATCCGACCGTGCGCGAAGGATCGCGCGCGCCAAACAGAAGATAGCCAGACTCAAGCTGGAGCTGGAAGAGGCCAGGCTTGCCGTCCTGGAGGAGGAGAGTCAGGACGGNAAAAAATACTACGTGGATCAAGTATTTTAAAAATTGGAATAGGTGCCACTTAGTACTGTAAAATACCTAGTGTGTGGATCTGTTCTAGTAAATACGTCTCATCTCTAATCGATAGGTCTAGTCCTCACCTATCACCTGCCTTCGGCTTGACACCTTACAAGAAACACCCTGTATAAATATAATAATATTTTATAATAAGTCTAAAATAAGCAGGTAAGATAAGATATATACCTACTTATGTAAATAGATTGCTGTACCCAACTGGGTGTGCATAGTTACCTAAGTCACCTAGTTTTAAGTTTCTTAGTGTACAATGTCTTTCATTGCAATAAATAAATAAATAGTAAGTAATCTCATTGCATTCTCAAGTAAACTTAAAAAAGACTAATCAGAAATAACCCAAACTTAAACCTATTCAATTTAAATTCCAGGATGTTGATTTTTCCCAAAACTGTATGCAAAAAGATGCCTTTGACTCGCCATTATGGAAAAGGCTTCTCGAAGATGTGAGGGGTTGGAATGTTGGTGTTGTTGATACTATCAAGGGTATTAAACAACAAGCAATCACAGGGAATCTCAGACGGAGAAAGGCAGATACAGTTGCAGCTTTCATTGAGGCAGTAGACAGATCTATCACTGATCCTCTGATTACTATAAGAGATTGTACAGGTTGGTACCTAACTTGTCTTTATTGCTTGCCTTTGCAATTGCAAGTCTATTTAAACATTCATGTTCTATCATATTAACATTTTAAATATGTTAGCCTCCATATTTCTCCATTTTACTGTCTTTTATAGCAACTTGTATGAGTTGTGATATCTACCACGTCCACAAATAATATTTATTAAAGTATGTTTTCATTGTTACAGGTAATATTAAATGCACATTACACAGAGATGCTTGGTTCAAATTCTCTCCATATATGGTATCTGAATATTGTGCCTTAGTTCTGTGGAAACCAACAGTTTTAACTACAGGCAGTGCCTTCAAGAAACATTATCTCAATATTACTTTGAGTAATATTCTTGCTATTTATAGCTCTGCAGTGATTAAAGATGAGAACAGAGAATTTCCAGATGGCTATGCTGTAGTTTATGAAGAAGATTTCACTGTTATCAAGTTAGAAAAACCAATATCAAATGCAGGTATAGTAAACATTTGAAAATATTCATTTTAAATGTCAGCCTTTGCTTTATAGAGATGTTAGTGCCTTCAGACTATCTATCTGATACTCAAATTTTAAAGCCCTTATTTTATTCAGTATCATACACAATTTAATTTTGAGCAACTGTGTATATTTTATATTAAAAATGTGTATATTTTCTTTGTTTCAGATAATTCCATTGTGGACTCATCAAATCAAGATGCAAATGAATTATTTGATGGTTTAGACAGTATATTCTCTGATGATATATTTTAGTTCTACCTGTGGTTCTACCAACTTGTTATGTTCTACAGTCAGAGTACTTATTTATTTTTGTAAGAGATATTGCATTAAATAAACACATTGTTTTGTTTAACATAATGCTACTTTATTTACATTATACAATATTTTAAATGCATAAATAACCTAAGACATAATTGATGATTCAAGGAAATAATTTATCAGGTAACAATGCCACTTTATTGATGTGCCTTGATAGAATGTGCTTTGATAATGTTGAAGGGTGGAAATAGGTGCATGAGCACATGTTACACCTATAAACTGCCTTTGAATTAGTCTTCTCTTGTCCTGATCCATTGTCTTCTTGATCAACTGGCTTGAAATGTGTCTTTAGATGTTTTTTGCACAGTGATAGTTTGTTGAAACTAACCTGAAATAGACACAGTAATAATTAATATCAAGCAACATTCTTATCAAATAAATACTTCGACATTGGCTAAAATTAACCCCTTGTGAGGAGCTTTGATTGCCACTTGTTTAAAAAACATGGTTATAAAAAGACTGTCCACAAAATGGGTAGTATTGGAGAGAGTAGTAGGTATGTAGATGTAGCAAAGCAGTAGTCTGAGAATAACTTACATTGCATTGCAGGCAATTGTAAAATTTATTTTTTCCAGATTCTATTACACAATATTCATTCATTGTTTTACAAGATTGATCTACATCTATGGTCAGTTTGTCTTCAGCTTCCAAAGAATGGTCCTGGAACAAAATTTTAATTTGTTTTTAGTTTTCATAATTATGTTTGAAGATGATGATGTATTCATGGCTAGATGGTCTTGTAAATAGATAACCAAAAAGATTATAATTATGTGAATGGGGTAAAAGTGGTATAACTATTATCTTTTTGGTTTATGGTGGTTTTGTGGAACAGCAAATTTCACTTTTCATTACGAAATCTAATATGCAGTTAAAAGGGTGTATTACGGCTTGATGATCCTTCAGCTCCAGTTCAGAGCTGAATAGCGCTGCGCAGGCGCTGCACGCGTACTTTTTGTTCGGCTGGTGTTGGTGGCGGGTGGTAACCAGTTCAACAGGTATGTCTGTAACAATACAGTTAAACTAACTTTATAGTCTGCAAATTATTTAATGTTTTTTTTAATATTAAAATGAAATTCCACTTCAATATTATTATTGTTTAACACTAAAAAGTATCTCTCTCTACAACCCGCTTGAGCTAACTGCGTACCTCGCTTTAATGCGACTCTCCCTCGCACTTACCCGCACACCACCCCGCATTCGCCTCGTCCCTAGCGCCGGCGTGACGTCACGGTCACCAGGTGCGCAGTTAATTTGACCGGGTTATACTTAACTAGCTTTCCGCCCGCGGCTTCGCCCGCGTGGAATTTTGTCTGTCACAGAAAAACTTTATCGCGCGCGTCCCTGTTTCAAAAACCGGGATAAAAACTATCCTATGTTCTTTACCGGGACTCAAACTATCTCTATGCCAAATTTCATCAAAATCGGTTGCGAGGTTTAAGCGGGAAAGCGTAACAGACAGACAGACAGACAGACAGACAGAGTTACTTTCGCATTTATAATATTAGTTGGGATTTCTTACTCCACGAGTGCACAAGATAGGCTGCAGTGCGGGAGGAATGGCGACGGATTGTGAGACTTGCCACCGGACCTGGTGTGACGACCACGACCACTCTGGCAAGAGTGTAGCGACGAAGAAGAAGAATACTTAATTTCTTAATGCAGAGAAAAGTACGCACTTCTTTTATTTACAGTGACGGATAATCGCACATCACTCTTGTCGGCTTCTTTGATTTCAAATATTTGCACGTGCAGTATGCTGTAGTCATCTTTGTATGTCGTTCCATCCTTTAAATATTTTTCCACTGATGTTTCTGTAATGTGTAAAAATAAAATTGTTTTTTTTTTTACTCATCTATACAAAGGAATGTTATCTACTTTTGTGTTTAAATATGAATTTATGATAATGGAGTAAAATGTATTTATTTAGCACGATAAATTGATCTTGTTGTACCTATGAAGTAATAAAGTTTTCAGTTCTTACCAATGTCATTAACCATCTTTTGCATCATATGTGGTAAATGAATAAAACGCCACTGCCCTGAGATTTCTGATACCTTTCCAGTGACCACTGCCGAGAGCACTTTATTGAGTACTTTTCCAGAAGAATCCACGTTTTGTACAACCTGGAACAACAAAAACGTTTAGGTGACCGCCTAGCATAGTTTTTTCCCATATCTGATAACGATAAACATAGCGCGAAACCGCTTTATAGTATTGGAGTGGGTGTTTTAAGTATTTTAAAAAATATTTGACAATACCTTTGTTATTAATAAATTGTTGTCTATTACTGACGGCTTGAAAGCAGGTATTTGTAAAAGTTGTGCTATAACTGAATCAGCAGTGACAACATCAGCAGCAGTGCATTTGTTCTTATTTGTGTTATTCCGGAACAAATATTGCAAGAGAATATGGAATTCTGATTCCACTATGTTATTATCATCTGTAAAAATAGAATTGTAACATTATAAATGTTATACATGAGAAATATCGCTCGGACGAAACTTGAAATGTTAATATTCTTACTATTTCTTACCTATAATACTATAAGGTGCCGATAAAGCAATCGAACATGCTTCAGTGTTGTCCTTAGGTTTGTCATTAGAATTAATAGGTTTAACAACTTCAGTAGTTTGCTGTTTTATAACTTTTGCAACAAGCCTCTTGCCATTTTTTGTTTTTCCTAGGAATATTTTATCAGGAAAATCTGAAACATTACATATTTTTTAAATATCTGGTATTGAAGTCATTTATAGACTGAACCGAAACAAATAAAATATGTATTTATTTACAGATTTGGATTAAAAAAGAAAATGATCCGGCTCGAAGGACCAATGAAAAGACAAAACAGTCATGTCTGTTTCGTTTATATTCACAAATTCTTATGAATGATATCACAAGAGCAGAAACTACAGTCATACTTCTTACATTTATCGCATAATGCGTGCGGTGGTCGCACTTGAGTTACTTCTAAATTGATTCAAACAAGAGAAGAATTCATTTCATTACCTTTTAGCGATAATTTAGTTTTAACTTTTAAAGTGTTTCCCTCTCTTCTTATGTCTTCATTTTCTATAACAAATACTCTAGTGTTTTCTGTACCCTCTTCTTGAATTCCATCGCAATTTTTGTTTGTTGTTGGTGTGGATTCTGTTTCTGTATTTTCTTCATTTAATATTTCATTAGCTGTGGAATGTCAAATAGTTATTAAACATGCATGTACCTCATACCTATTTATTTATCATGAAGCAATAAAGATATTGACTTAGATATGAATTAAATTTACCATCAATGTAATTTTCTGAACCATTTTCTACAGATTCATCAACAGTAAGCATGTTATTATTGTCCATAATGACTTTTATAGGTTCTTCAATTTGACCTGATATATTGTGGGAGAATTCTTTGAAATCTGTGCTAGCATTACTATCCAGATTGCATGATCTGTAAGAAAAAGTGCAAACTCTGTTTAGTAAACTAGAAAAATAAGTGCGGCGACTAAAATCTCGGCAGTATGAGTGTGTTTACGGGACATGACTTCTATGATTAACAAAGAGCCTTTGAGACTCTTCCAAGGGTCCAATTTTGCCAAGTCAAGGAGAATTGTATACATAAACATTAGCTGGCCATATAACTGGCAGAGCAATTCTTGTCTTAAAATAATCACTTACCCAATATCTATGTTTTGGATTTCATTGCTCTGTTGGCCTTCATTCTTCAACTTTTCAATGAGTTCTGTAAGTAATCAATGACATTAGCCTTCTATTTTGTGACGCCTCAGATACCTAGTTCAAGAATGTTTAAATACCTACTGTCATTTGTGGTAATGTCGTGAAGCCCTAATGTATTTAGCACATACATTTTGTCACCTATTTCAAGAAGTAACCATCCCTTTCGTTCCAGCATTTGATACTGTTCGTCACTCAAAGTTATCTGTGAAAAGTTGACATGAACTTTAGAATATTTTTATGTTATAAAATTAATATAGTACCTACTGTATGCAGGTGTAGGCCAAGATGCGCTCCACAATAAGCTTCTAGTGATTTCGCAAAATAAGCCATACATTTGTCATCAAAAACCGTCAATAAGATTTTGTTATGGAATGTTTCCTGACCCGACTGCTTTAAAAAAAATTGAGTAGTAAGGAATGTTAATGAAAAGCCTGATGTAAATATACTTTACTCACCTCAGTGCAACTTTCTTGTTTACTAGGCTCAACTACATTTTTTATGATTTCTGCAGTATCTTGTTCCATCTGAAATCAAATAGATATCTAATTAGCTTTTTAACACAAGATAATAAACAGATTAATAAACAAATGAATAATTAAATAGTAGGTATGTTTGTTTACCGGTTCACTTGCAGTGGCTGCTCCTGGCTGAAGCAAATAACTATTTGTGAACAAGTTATTTTGAGCTTCAGCAACATATTGATCTGAAAATGTAAAAACATAAAACATTATTCCCTTTGGATTTGTTTTTAAGTAAATTCATATTTTGTTCTAAACTAAATGCTTAGTTTGGATTTTAATATTATTATTATAATAAATAGTTGAAAAACTAAAGAGAAACATACCCGAGACAGAAATTAGTTCAGAAGGATTATCAACATCAACTAAAAACTGTTGCGGAGCCACATCATAAACTGTGTAAGGCTGTGTCTGTGTTTCTATATTGTCCTTGACATTTTGAACTTGAAATAAAAGAAAATGGTCAGCGATAAAAACTTAATGAAATGAAACTTTAATAAATTATTTTAATTCTTAGATTTTACTTAATGTGTATAGATTTTAATTTTTAGTATAAACATAATTTGTATGTAAGTGGATTGTTTATGTATAATATGTATTTTGCTAATGATAGTTAAATAAAGTATCGTTAAGCCTTTATTTCGCCTGAGATACAGGAATAAATTTCTTAGTTCAGGCACATGTATAATTTTACCTTTTGTAGCATAAGATTAGCCTAGAGTTTAATATGTCAAATAAGTTATTCAATAAAGAATTTATTTATTTAAACTTTTGAAACAAAGATACTGATTAATAATGCTTTAGAATTTAATTATGTTTAGAAAAAAAAATGCAGGGGGTCTTTGAACATCTATGCATGCATTTATGATTGTGTCGTATCTCGGCTAAGGGATGAAGGGACTTGTATTGTTAAAAAAATTTAATACAGTTAAAAATTGCTTAGCTTTAGTAAACTTACCATAAAAAGTTTTGTTATCATGAACTATGAAAAATTGTTCCGATTCAGAATCATTTGCTGGTAGATACTCGTAAGTTTCAAAGCTGGTTTTATCCATTATGATTCTTTATGATTAAACAAATTCAATTTAACTGTAAAGGGAAAAAATATTGATTAATCCTGCTTTAATTAAATGCAAATTAAATTTTGGTTTTCATGTGAATTCCGATGCTTTTTTTAAACATAATTTTATTCAAATAAATAAAATAAATTTATTTGTTAAACTGCAAAACTAGTCTTACTTAGTTCAGCAAAGCAAATTGTTTATTTTTATTTGTTTAAATTTTCTTTTTAAATTCGCGAACTGTGGTCGCGAATGCGAAGTGTCACTGACTGGACTGATGTCACTGTCAGTCAGGGTCATGAAGCTAAAGATAAAATGGAGGCCACACTTCGAATACCTACTTGAAGCACAACCTATGTATCACTATCTCGCTCTCTGTGGGCAGACTCTCTCTTTCTAAATAAACAAAAAATATTAATTTTCTCAAAGTTAATGAAACTCAATGTAAAATCTTTATTTCTTGACATCGGTATCATTAAATAATAAGTGTAAATACTGGTCAAACGTTTTAGGAAGAAATTACTGTGAAAAATGTTTACAATGATCCAATGTCGGAAATCACGAAATAAACACTTACGCGTGGAATCTTAAGTCACTTCAGGGACACCACGTACTACCGCAACCACGCACTACAATATTTTGCACCATTTCTTGTGATAAAACAATGATTAGAGCCCCGATTACGGTAATTTTTAACGTCAACAATCCAGACACGCTTCTCGATTCTGCGATACGATTGGTCGTTCAACAGCGTACGTCAGCTGTTTTGACCAATCGTATCGCAGAATCAGAAACGCGTCTGGATTGTAGACGTTAAAAGTTACCGTAATCGGGGCTTAGGTCTTGTAAAAAATCTCAAACGAAATTAACTGCATAGTAAACAACCGCCATGATGGCCCGGATTGGGCCGATGTTGCCACATGGTACCGATTCCTCAGGAATTGGGATTGTAATTCCCTGATTTGCCAACACATTAAGCCTAAACTGCCGACAATTTTGTGATTTTTAATTTAACTAGGTAATCGTAGTTCAAATATTTAATTATTTATTTGGTTAACTTCTGATTTGCTTAGTGAATTGGATATTTCGAATAATTTACTAAAGCCTGAGCGCGCTGCTGACGTACGCTGTTGAACGACCAATCGTATCGCAGAATCGAGAAGCGTGTCTGGATTGGAGACGTTAAAAATTAAATTACCGTAATCGGGGCTCAGCACCCCGATTACGGTAACTTTTAACGTCTACAATCCAGACGCGTTTCTGATTCTGCAATACGATTGGTCAAAATAGCTGACGTACGCTGTTGAACGACCAATCGTATCGCAGAATCGAGAAGCGTGTCTGGATTGTTGACGTTATAAGTTACCGTAATCGGGGCTCAGGTCCGTAAGTACGTAGAATTTTGTCCAATGACCCCAAGCTACCCATCCTTATCGCTCGCGCGTAATTGTATTGCTGTCGTGACTGTGCGACGGGCGCCCGCAGTGAGTGTGCGAGCGCGACAGCAACACTAAAAAGATAGGTCGGCCCACAGAGAGCGGGATAGAGATAAGTAGGTATTTGACTCAAGTTTTTGTTCCAAGTGTGGCCTCCATTTTTATCTTTAGCTTCATGGTCAGGGTGCTTTTTTTTTGTTTATATAATTATAAAGGTCGGGACGCATTTAAATAGAGCGACTTATTTTTTTTGGAAAATTATTTCTATTTCTCATAAAATAAAGAGGATAGCGGTGTTGCAGCACTTGCAGCAGTTGCAGCCATGCAGCATCGTCGCTAAATAGCAAGTGACGTACGTGTAGCGTCATGTCATGCGTGGTTGCTTAAATGCCTTCCGATCTTTAAATTCGGCTAACAACGGCTATTTGAATAACACTCATCACTCATAGCCAGCAGTTGCGCTAGAGTTGCGGAGAAGAAGAATACATTCAACATAGTACGCGCTAACTATTATAAAATGTGTGATCCATACTCTATAATCTGTGGTGGGATAGGAAGTGACGTAAGCTAGCTACCTATTGAGCGGTTGTCTTTGGCCGACACAAGGAAAAGGCGCGGGAAGAAAGCCTAACTTCTTCAACTTATTTCAATTGTTAAGAACTGAGATGAAAAATAATTACAGTAAGTAAGTACCAAATTTTACTATTTTTATTTTATTTTATGTTTATAAACGCCAACTGTAATCAGGTCACATTATTATTTACTTATGGCAGGGTAAAATCGAAAACGTAGTTCACATTAGAAAACGCCTCACAGTGCACGGTATTTCTTAAGGCTTGCACATAATTTTTTAACTCCATTGGTTCATAAACAGGCGCTTTTACTTTTCCAATAACCATTAACTGAACAAGATCGTTGAGCATAACATCCTTTTCAACGCTAGATGCTTGTGCATCCCAGTCGTTTAAGTGAAATCTACAAAATGTGGCATCACAACGTAGGAATTGCTTTACTAATGGCATGGCAAAGGCACATCCGTAATAAACTATAACTCCGTCGCGTTCTAGCAACTTTAGCATTACGTCTTCGTATCTGCCGCCCAAGCAGTTTAGTGCTAAAATTGGCCTGTTAAGAGACGTATTAAATACGGTCAGTTCTTCAGCTTCATCCAAGGTATAGACTGCAGTGGCGCCCAGATCAAGCAAACGATTTTTTACAGCTTCATATCCGCAATGATTGGCGACAATGTTAACCGTGTTAATTCCCCAAGCCTTGCACAACTGAATCACACATTGTCCACAAGGGCTATTGGCGGCATTTTGGATAACCGTATCTCCAGGTTTGACTTCTAAGAAGTCTTTGATCATTCTATAAGCTGTGCATGGTGCTATACTCAACATTGAAGCTTCAGGAAGAGGAAGGTTAGGGGATACGACATGGACGTCTCTCTCGTGGTATATGCCGTAATATCGCCAAGTGCCTAGTAATCTGGAACTAAGTACCACCCTTTCACCAGGCTTTACTGTGCAAACGTGACTTCCAATCTCCACTACGTCACCTACACCCTCGTCGCCAGGAATAGCGGGTAAACAAGGCAAGGCAACTCCTTTACCTGAAATTATAGTTTTATTTAAATTTTAAACTTTAAAATGAATCTAACATTTATTTTACTTAGTTTATAATTTCATAATGTTATGGGGAAATTGGAAGGAAGAATGAAAATAAAAGTATATGTGAATTTCGAAAGAACGCAAAAGAAGCATTTATTTATCTGTTCATTTCCAATAGTGGTTGTTATAAGTGTTTAAAGTAATAAAACACATTGTATGTGTATATTATTTTATATTTTTTACATTTCAAATAACAAGCATAAGTAACAGTAAAATAATAAAATTAGGAACTAAAATCTAAGATGTATTTACATCCAGTGAACCCTTTTGAGCTCAAGGCATTACCCAAAGCTTCCTCATAATTATCAAATTTCACCATCTTATGAACTGGGCCTTTCAGCTTGTTTTCACACATCAAATTAACAATATCATTTACCATTTGATCTTTGTCTGCTTGGTTGGCTTTTTCATTCCAAGCAGTCATCCAAAAGCCATGGAAAGAAAGATTTTTAAAAATAAATGCTGAAGTTGGAATGTTTACTGGCTCCCTAGACATTCCCCCATAAGTGACCATCTTGCCAGAATGTTGTAAATGCCTTAACATTTCCAAGGAATTTTTCCCACCAACACAATTAAGGGCCAATGACGGCTTCTCAATCTTCTTTTCTTTAAATATATTTGTTGTCCTTAGCTCCTCCTCTGTGAGTACATAAGTGGCACCTAAGCACTCTAGATATTTCTTCAGTTCACAGATATCAGGTCTGTTTCTGACAATATTAATGTTTTTAACCCCCCATGCTTTGCATATCTGTATCACATTTTGCCCACAGGCACCATTAGCACCATTTTGTATTACTACCAGCCCTTCCTTGACTGGCTTAAAATCTGTTAACATTCTATATGCTGTGCATGGATTTACAGTAAGTGTGGCTGCTTCTACCACGCCAAGATTGTCAGGGACCACTCTCAAAATGTCTTTGTTAAATGTTGCAATATCCCTCCAGGTTCCTTGAATGGGCTTTGTCACAATTACTTTATTTCCAGGGGATACACCTTTAACTTCTTTTCCAATATCTTCAACAATGCCTACGCCTTCGTTTCCAGGTATAGACGGTAGATTCACCTTAACTGGATACTTTCCTGGAAAAAAAAATGAAATAATGTTAAGACTTATTTTAAAAATATACAAAGACAAAAATCAAAATTGATAAACAAAAAGCAAAAAAAGTACCTTTTCGTATTTATCTTGAGTCTTATTCATTGTTTTGAATACTTTTATTACCACAGTAAGAAAGATTTTAATCTGAAAAAAGATAAGCATGCTAATCTAGTGTAGTAGTACCTTGTATGGTGTTTATATCAGCTGGGTTGACTGGGGCGGCTAGCATTCGAACTAGCACGTCTTGGCTACCCAAAGGAGGCACAGAACATTCTCTAAATTTTACAACATGAAGAGGATCTCCAAATTCATTGTACACCAGTTGTTTTGACATCAGGTTTCTCATCCCAATCTTTCGATTAGCTGTATTTAAAATACTTGATAGCAAATTCCTTGAGTATGGTAGAAGCGCCATGTTTATATTGATTGCTTTTCTGTGTTTTCTTCTTTAATTAAACAGAGTTTTGAAGAAAATTGATCCGGGTAATTGTAAAAAATCCTTGTATTTTTTTGACGGTGAATGATTGACACGATTGACACTGACAGTTGACAGCTATCAACTATCAACCATTTGACAAATAAATTTTTTCGTACGAATTTGTGGCTTTGAGACATTGGTAAATTAGAAATCCTAATTTTTCAGTTTTTGTGTGCAGTTTACACTCTGGCTGGCAGTAGAGATGGGTAGTGGGTAAAAACCCATTTCACCCGATTGGGTTAAAACTGGGTGATTTGGGTAAAAACCCGGTTTTTACCCATTATCACCCATTCGGGTGGGTGAAAACAAAAATAGCGTTTTTTTTAAGTGAGAAGTTGTATTTGTTGCTAAGGGGGCGTTCTAGTGTTACGTAATGCAATCTGGAGGGAGAGGAGGTCTTGAAAAACGTTACAATGCGTTACAGTGAAGGAAGGGCGGTTCGATTTCAAGTTTTTAAGCAGAAGTACTTTGTAGTTGGTGTTGTTATTTGTAACTTTATACCGTAATGTCATCAAAGAGAGAGTTTGGCATCTTTGGCACCCCCCCTCCATGTCCTTGCCATGATCACAAATTATTGTGTTCCTACTAAATTTCTTCTAAATCGGTTCAACGATTCTTGAAATAACAGGGTATTTCGCCGAAACAGTAAATTTTCTGTGTCCAGGCAGGCGAACACATGTTTTTTTATATCTATCTGTATAAAACTATTTTTATGGGAAAGTTCATCAAAAGTTTTATTTGTTTTTGCTATTACAATAGCAGAAACTACAAATAATACCGTAGAAAAACTTAATCAAAAGTCGTTTTTCTAATTTCCTTGTTATGTCCATTACTGTTGTTTCCCAAAATGAAGGCTCATTATAACAAATTGAAGCGTAATTTAATTCTAATAGCACTCTCTTTACATTTGAGAAACGTTTGGCTATCGGAAAATAAAAACTTTAAATGTCAAATACTTATAGGAAGAAAATAAAGTGAAGTTAAGTTCTTGTCCAGGTCAAAACTATAATTTCCCTGGGTCTTCGTTTCGACCATTGTTGTAACGAAACGAAAAAACTTAGAATGTAACGCACTGCACCACTACACTCGGCCATTTCGTCCCAAGAGGCCATTGAGGCAGGACAGTACGTCGTTGATCAGTTTCGCGACAAATCGCATAAATAGGTCCCTCCTTGGGTTTTTGTTTACTAAAAAGTCAATTTCTTTGGACGGTTTTTTGCAACTAAACAATGGATTAATTTTATTGTTTATTTACACAAATGTAGTGTCTGTAGGGGTAAACCCATGATTTAAATAGTAAATGTATAGGGTAAATAGGTTTTTGTCTGTGGTGTCTTTTAGGCATAAATCTAATTTCTTTGGTCCTAATTTCCTTGTTTTCCGTGGCATAAAATGACCTAGGAAATTATAAAAGACCATTAATAATTCGGCGTAAAGTCAAATTTTGAGTATTTCTTTATTGGAATAAGTTTAAAATTTACATTTTAAGAAATAGGTATCAGAATAGATATAGAAAAACTTGTTTTTAACTTTTAACTCAATCTACTGCATTTATCTTCCTTAGTTGTGTAAAAGGTCGTAATGATATTAATATTCATTGGCATGTTTGCTTGCGAAAGTACACAAAAATAGGTCGAACAAAAAAAAAGCAAACCACAGAAGAAAACTTAGAGAAAAAAATATTTATAATAATTTCCTTGGCTACCAAAAATTTATGACCTCATAACTTTGTTTCTAAAACGAATTATGACACCCCTTCTAGATATATTAGCTTAGTTTTTACTACTTAATGCAATGGGAAACTAAAAATAGTTAAAAACAAAAATAAAATTCGTGCCATGGAAATTAGGCAAAATTGACCATTTTTGGCGAAATACCCAACACCATTTTATAAAATAATTGGTCACATCATCATAACGTGATCAATTTTACGATTTGGACACGATATAAATGCATATTAGTGTTAAATTTGACTTATTACTTATTAATCAATAAACTTAAATGAGAAAAATTCAATAAAAATAAAGAAAAGATACCAATTGAAATAATTATAAAATTATTTGTTTTCACCCGGTGTAAACTCCCACGGGTGGAATGAAACGGGTTTTTATTGGGTTTTTACCCTCATGTGGGTTTTTACCCGGGTGGAAACCCATCTCTAGCTGGCAGTAGGGTTTATTTAAAAAATATAAGAGATGCATTTTAGTAAATTAATCTTTATTTTAATTTTCAAGCAGTTTGTTTGATTTCTATATCTTTGAGGAAACGGTTGACGCGCATATCCAGGTCTCGCTGTGCAAGAGGTGCAGCTGCTGAAGGTGGCTGTGTGGCTTCAGGTGGAGGCATCAGAGGTTTGGGGGCGCGGAAACGCCGCGCTCGAGTCAGCTGCCAGGTGGCGCTAGTATTGCGAAGTCCACCATGCTTTACTCCTGCTTCACGATCTACTGCTGCAACAACTGGTCGAGGAACACTGTAAAGGAAAATCTTTTGATTTAACTTGGAATAGATAACATAGCTTTTGTTTTATAGCTAAGAAAGAAGCGCATACTTTGCAAATTTAGTATGCTATTATTAAATTAAAATTTTAAACTTACTATCCCATAGTGATAGCTGCTCGTAATCTTGCAGGTGCTATAACAGACGGCAGTTCCGATGATGAATTCCTTTTCAAGCCTGCAGCAAAAAAGTAGGTATTTAGTTGGTTGGTTGTTGAAGTTACAAAATGAAGACACTCAAGACTAACAATAGGTTCTAAAACATGTATTTGTGAAAAATTAACAAGTATTTACTTAGTTTGGTGAGAGCTTTTCAAGTAATTAAGATTGCTTTAATGATAGATCCAATTTGAAGGCACCAGTTGTACCGGATATGAGTATGACTACTGCACTGCGCTACAAAATGCTTTTAAAAGTATGTTACAAATATATTACTAATAAGCCAGACAGATGCTAACCAGAATATTTAATATTTGAGATGGAGGTTTTGTCCCTCCACTTCTGTGAGCAGACTGGGCAGACGGCGCGCCGTATCGACCACCGAGGAATTTCTTCGCGCTGAGGTTCATTTGCCATTTTAAACGCCGGAATTTCAAGTTGTATCTGAAAAGGGTGAGTTACAAACATTCATTTATTGAATGAAGGGATTTTATTAAATGAAAAGTATTAAGTGTTGTTTTTTCCTTTGATTGCAGTTAAAAATTAAAAAGCTTTAAGTAATCCTAAACAAATTATAATGATGTTGAAGCAATATACCAACCGGTGCTGTGGTTGTGGTGGTAAATGCCAGTATGGATGGGATGTCCATGTCTCGACGTGTTGACATGCGGGAGACGCGGGAACGGGACACGCTGCGTTCGGTAGCGCGCATACTTAACCCGTGAACGCAGGCTTCGCTGGATTCACTGGAGAAATTAAACAAATAAAAACAAGGTGCAAAAGACCAACTCAAGATGTCTTAATGTTCATCTACTGGTGTTTAAAAAGGGCCAACTCAAACTTTTCCGTTCGAATCGGTTACTCCAAAGTGAATTTTGATTATGTAATAATTTGTCTTAAAAAAATTAAGTTATGGTGCTCTAGCAGAATTTGCTGCTACATACAATGCATTATTCAGGAAATGGATTAAAAAAGCAATCAGGAGCATCATTAAAGGATTTTCATTAATTATAACTTGCGTTAATTAAGTAATAAGAGAGTACATCAAGTAGGTAATTAGTTACTTAATAAAAAAGAATTTCATCAAGATAGAGTGGCATTATTGGACACTATTATAGCTCTGAAATTGTTGCGTAACATAATTATAAATACAAAACTACAAAGGTTTTTTTTTACCACAATTTTTATTTTGCCACGCCACGCCCAACTAACTACTTACTTTATTATAAATGAATCTTTTGAAAATTTTTGGTAATGAGACCAAAGACATGAATAATTTGTACCAAAACGTCAAATAATACGCTCGCCAATCGTGCATATCTCGAAGAAGAAAAAAACCATCTTAAATAACTTAAGTACATACTTATACACATATTAACAAATAAACCAACAACCATCCTTATCGAACATATAAAACACAAGAAAACTTCGTGAAAGTTGTAACTTAATAGACGTAATTGAATCGAAAGTGAAAGTTAAGTGGGAAAACGGGCATTTTTTTGCTAATGTGTCATTGTCCCCCGATGTCAAACTTTTATAATGCATCATTTTCATCTCAGAGCAGAGACGTTCATAAAGATGTAACTCATTATAAAACTCTATATATTAGACCATGATATGCTTTTTCGTAAATTGCTCTCCTTCGATTGTATGTGTCAGTGAGGCCTAGTGATTAGGGGGTTCGTAAGTTGATCCGATCAAGCAAATTGAGATAGCTATGATAGCTTGTAGAGTTCTAAACAAAGTAGGTAGGTACATAGTCATACAAAAACTTACTCGTCAGAAATGTCATCACGCGGTAGGTCTAATGTTTGATCTTGTGCCTCCTGCATCTCACGGCTTTGGGCGCGCACCATGTCGAGCAGTAACGTCTCATGTCCCCCCAAGTCGTCGGACCTATGGCAAAAAGAAAGGGAGTACATCGTCCTCTGTATAGCTAGACTACAAAATAATTCCTAAAACCACTTGGAATTCTTCTTGAATAAGAATAAAATTAAAACATCATTCAAGTCCTTTCGTATTTTATAGAGACAGATTGACCTCAAATTGAAGTAAATTTACTTTTGTGTGCGCATTAATAAGATAACTAAATCAATTTTATAATGACTTAACGATTTACGAGTACTTTATTATTTTAAGGAATAAAAAAATTAAGAAGTATTTTTAAATCTACCTGTTAGATTCACGCCATTGGGAATGATGCTATGATCTATTGGTTTAGTTGGTGAACTTCTATTTCCATTAGAGTGGACTGCGGTAGGTTACGAGATTTTCCATTCGAGAGTTCTACTGCGGTCTAATCGTACCGATTCATGTAGAGTCTACTGAAACGAATACGACAACATCTAAAACTTTTCCTAAGTAAAAAAACTAATTTCAGTCAAGCGTTCACCAGTTATTTTCCCTAATCATGTGAAAAACTAACTTAGATAACTTACATTGATGACTATGGGTGGAAACGATAAGTGATCTCATTCGATTATTTCTAAACTATACAAGATATCTTAAAACTGGTTACTGATCCTGAAAGTGCTTCACGAGCTCTATCCAGCGATACCAATAATAGGTTACAAAATTAACTGGATCCATCCTAAAATTCAATGTTTCCAGCTTCCATACTAAATGGTGCCAGGTACCGTTTGAAAGAGCTTGTGAAGCACTTTCAGAATCAGTAATCAGTTTTTCGTTATCTTGTATAGTTTAGAAATAATCGAGTGAGATCACTTAACGTTTCCACCCTGTATAGATAGAAGCACTGAAACAATGTGATGTTTAGGTACTCACTACATACGTGACATAATAAAACTTATTTTACCGTTATTATTTTATACTCACAACATGCTGCCAGTGCCTGTGTAAGTGCCATAGAGGTCGCTCTGCTGGGAGAGCATGGAGGTGAGGTATCGGGGACTTGGCGAGCTCGACGAGGAACTGTCCCGGCGGTTTGCGCGCACCCTCGTCAGCAGATCTGTGTAGGGGGTGCTGTCGTTCGTCATGAACGAGATCCGCCCGCCTCCTTGCTCATGACTTTCGTTTTGCTTTTTGGCTCTTGAAAAAAAAGGTCATATAAACAACGGTATAAACTTGAGCAATTTTTCAACAAAAATGTAGGTACCTATGTTACAATCTTATATGCTTTGATCAAATGTACGAATTTTAATAACGTTTACGAAATTAATTAAGATGGATAATTTATTTGCGTTGTAAGAGAAAAGAGAAGGAACTAAGCTTTTTTAATCTGAAAAGGATCATCGAAATACCTACGTCATGTAGGTTCTTGCAAAACAACTTTTACAAGGTGCCAATAAAGGTACCTACGCGACATAAAAAGTGACGGACATTTCAATAATACTGGTACGATTGCATTGGTAAACAATTCATTTGATCGCTTGTGTTGATAGAGCTTTTAAAAGCATATGCAAATAAGTCAACAAATGGTTCCATCGGAATTGAATTGAATTTGAATGTCCTCGGGACAAAGTTGTGGAACTTTGATTACTAATTTGAGTTATTGTTTGCAGATTGCTGTACCCAGAAATATTAGTCACATTTACCATCCAGTAAATGGACTTTGTTTATGACGTTTCTCATTAAAATATAATCCCACAAGATTGCTCTACCGCGCTTATTTATTATGTATCCTACATGTTACTGCGCGTAATTTTAAGGCGTTCTAAAAACAGTTATGTGCATAAAACCTCATCAGGTTTTTATTCCACCGCCCGTTGCGAATTCGTGAAACAAACAATTGTTCGTCGAATTGTTTCGATTTTATGTCGAAGTCGAACGCACAAGGATGCCGGCCATCATCTGTGTTGGAGTGACTTTTACTTGCAGTCCGTGACTCACGGGGATGACTCAGATTTTATGCTAGTTATAGTAGGTGCGTTGGTAACAAGCAATAGTAGTTGAGACATCTACGTAATACTTGTTTCGTGGTCGTGGGCCTTGAAGCCAATCTCAGTGCGGTTGACTCTACACACCGTTTCTTAAAAAACTGACTCAAAGTTTATTTTCAGTTCGATAGAATACAATAATTATTATTGATGCAGCTTGAGGATGTTACTTGCAGTAGCATATGTATTTTTTAATTAATATAAAATATAATTAATAGTTAACATGTATTTCTATTATATTCATAATACATTCATACTAACGGATACTAACATGCAATAGGCAAGTTGGAATTCAAATACCCAGTCCAAGTGCCTATAAACTCCTTTGAATGACAACTTTAGTGAAAGTTTTTGTCAGTTGTGTTATAATGTGTTTGCAACGTAATAATTTGATAATGCATTCTATACGGTCTATACGGTATTTTGACGCGAATGGTCCGATTTTGGTATAAGATATAACGTGTAGTGCAATTAGGTTGTCTTGTAAAATCGAAATAACAAATGGATGGAAAATACATGGAACAAAGTATTTACCTACTTACCTAATATTGTTCTGAAGTTCATTGTTTATTAGGAACTATTTTATGGAAAATATGGAGAAAGCCAAAGTCTTGACACTTGATGTACTTTATTAGTGTTTATAGAATGGAGAGAAATGTAAACAATCATATTTGTACAGTAAAGACTGTAATTTCTATGATAATGGAAAAGCATTTCATCGATATTTGATATCTTGTACTTACATTGCAACGCGCTGGGCGCCGTAAACTTTGGAATAGCGGTTCTTCCAATTGCCATTTTTCTTCCAATTTGATTCAGGTTTTCTAAAACATCAAACAGAATAGGTGTATTATCAAAATATGAGCCATAACTTCATTATAACATTTCAGCTCTAGGTTTCTTATTAATTTGACTTAATTAATACTAAAAATAAATTACGAAATAACTTAAAATAGATTTTGTTAACACCTTTGCTGCGGCAGTAACTTTCTAATACTTTCCATTCCTTCGGTACAAGGTCAGCAAACCTGGTATTAAAACTTACATTGTGGCGACACAAGGCTTAAAGACCTTGTAATATTTAAGATATATTAATTACATTTTTGGCTTCATGTTAATAGATATTGTGTTTTTTTTCTTTGAATATTAATAATAATGCATTTATTGACATACACCTGAAGGCGTTCGTGAATAACTTGTTTAGTATAAAAATTATAGCTATATTCAAAATACAAGGCTTATGCACCCTGTGCCGCACTGAAGTAGGGAAGTCTGGTGGGTATTCTAGGGATGTGAAATACAAATATCGATAGTTTAAATTTAGTTTTAATAATTTTTTTAAAAAAGTAACAAACAAAGATGTTTTAATAATTTAGTCTAAATATTTTACAAATAAGACATACGTGCATAAATACTTAAATAAGCTATATTTAAAGAAAACATATTATTTAATAACATTTAGTTACAACTTCAAATGTTTGTCACGAAAAACATTATTTAAATTAGCAATAAATCGTGTAGCAAATTAAATTATAATCAATTTGCAGTTTTGATTTTGTTTGTTTCTCTTGACGCCATGTCGACATGTGCGTTTCTTACGAATGCGAGGCAACACTGGCTGCACGAAGCTAGAGTGGGGTGCGGTACCAGGTGTGCAGGGTACAAGGTGCTTCGATCTGGTTTCGCATTGTGAAGACATTTTATTACTTCCGTGCGGTACCAGGTCTAAAAACCTGGTATGAAGGTAGGTACATCATTGGATTCTATTTTAAGAATACATCATAGATATACACCGTGTTACTTTGTATTCTTGCCATATTCACAGAGATAAAAGTAGGTAACAATACCTATTATTTAAGATAAACAAGACCCTCCCATAAAGAAAGTACACTAAGATTTTAGTAAATTTGGTTTTTCAGTACAAATTGGAATAAACCAATTTTGTCTCGCACGTTCTACAGGTGCAAGTGGAATAAACCTAGTGGGCGTGGCCTAGTTCTTAATGATAGATCGCCCGGAGTCCTGCCAGCAGGACTTAAAGTACTTCCGGTAGGACGCAAAATTAAAAGATCACAGTTTCGTAAGTATACATTGTACAAATTTCAAATTTACACGAAAAAATAGAGTGTTTCTCTCTCTTTCACCCAATANATATTCATCACTTTCCTACACCGGACCCAATTGAAGTTATGCCTTTCGCACGACAAGGAAGACTATAATTTTCTTAGCCGCACGGTAAGCGAGACGTACACAAGGTCTATAGACCTGGTTTCGCACTCAACGTGTTAAATCATAAAGGGAAAGAATTTTGAAATTATGAATAACGCTTTCGAAATAAAAAATAAGCGCGTAAAGAAAGTAGGTAACTGATTCGAAACAAACTCTTAACAAAAATGATGAAATGTGAGTAAAAAAAGTTATTTTAGTCACATTTCATCACTTTTGTTTTTGACGAATACTTTGAAGTCAAAGTTTTTGTAATTTTTCTTGTAAATTATTCTCGGTTCTTCAAAAGTACCTAGTAATTATTTATGGCTTCATAAATTTCGCAACACAATGTAGATCTTTAACCATGAACTTAATTGGTCATATTTTTTTAGAAAGAAGGAGGAGGATATGAGATTATTTATTACCTATCGACTTTTTCCTGGATGCTTGTATGTTTTTTATTGCCAAAACTGCTTGAACTACCTATTTTCTTAAAGTACCCTTGATCTTGATGAAAATCTTAGATATTTAAAATCCAGACCTGTGGACCTGGCATGATTTTTGTCGACTATAAGTGTATCAGCAGAACTCTACACTGACAAGATGTATAGCATACCTAGCCACATGCCATAAAAAAGTGTAATGAAGAAGTTAATAGCAAGCTAAGGAAACACCAATACGATGTTTGATCCTTCAGTAATTAAGCTTCGAACAGGCGTGTTACGATGATGACTTTATTAATTGGTTAGTACCAATATGATAAGTGATTGTAGAGTTTGTGTTGCAGCACCTTTTTATAACTTTATTCGCAAAAATATTCAACTATTACCTTTACGTATAGAGAGTTAGATCTCGGTCAAGTCAAACCTAAAAACTATTCACTGAATTTCAAAAATACTCACTCCATTATCCAAGTCGCTCTTTAGGTTTAGAGAAATCTACTTGTAAAATATTAAAAAACTTTTATGTAATGACATCAAAACCAACCTATCTCACAGACTCCATGTTGACGTTTATATTTTTTATAAGTGGTCGTCATATTTCAACCTTCTTGTTTTTGTGATATTTTGTTATTAAAAACTTTTTGACTATGAGCACGATACCGCTTGCTTGATTTAAAAAAACATTAGCCGCATCGTGGCCGCATTGTGCAAAAATACCTGTTGCCGCGGGGTTTTATTGGGGTAAGGTCTACAACTAATAGTAAGTGGAGCGGTCACTTGTTGAACACTGCTCTTAGGGGTAATTCCTTGGTCTACCAAGGTCAAATTATTATCCCCGCAAAAAAAGAAAAGAAATAAAAAAGCCTGCGTTGCTTTTTTCGGGTTTTTTTTGTAATCAATAAAACAAATTTTCAATTAATGAAAGGCTTTAATTTACATAAAAGTATGTTCCAAGGGAGTTCATCGTGCCTAATTTTATGAATATTTGATTACCAACGTGAATTAATTTAGACTTTCGTCATTAGACGCGAACGTTTTCTAAACAATCTCGTGAGATATCGTTGCCGATTCTTATTAACCCATAAAAACTTTATGTTTCTGAAATTGCTTATTCATTTCATCTATCCCTAATGCTGTCCAATGTTAATTACAATGTGGTACTCCTTTCTTCTGTTTGTAAATTATATTCTAGGTTTGTGTATTATTAACAACTGTTCAGTGGTTTTGTTTTTAGTAATTTAATGCGAGAATTAATTAATACAATTAAGAACAAATTTTGTTCGTCGTTCTTTCGTCTTTGAAAATTATAACAAACGTTACTTTAATTAATTTTATTTAAACAAATTATAAATTTTTCAACCAAAGAAGAACGGTCACGCCCCATACAAAAAAAACCCAGACCCGACAGAAACGAGACATATCTCAGTTTTTTTATCATGTCTTAATTAGTTAAATTATATATTTTTTATATACGAAATCTATGTATAACACCAAAATATTACCCTTTGTTTTTGTTCAGGCGCTATACAAAAACTAATACAAAATGCCTATTTATCACCAAAATTGGTAAATGTATGTACCTAAATGTCTATTACAGCTGCTATGGAATGTATCTAGGTGAACTGGAGATACAGCCGGATTATACAGGGTGGTTATACATATGGAACGATAAGTGTTCTCACTCGATTATTTCTAAATTATACAAGATATCGAAAAAATAGTTACTGATTCTGAAAGTGCTTCACGAGCTCTTTCAAATGGTACCAATAATAGGTTACAGATTATGGAAGCTGGTAACATTGAATTTTTGGATTTTGTAACTTCTCGTTTCCACCCTGTATAATCCGGCTGTATCTCCAGTTCACCTAGATACATTCCATAGCAGCTGTAATAGACATTTAGGTACATACATTTACCAATTTTGGTGATAAATAGGCATTTTGTATTAGTTTTTGTATAGCGCCTGAACAAAAACAAAGGGTAATATTTTGGTGTTATACATAGATTTCGAATATAAAAAATATACAATTTAACTAATTAAGACATGATAAAAAAACTGAGATATGTCTCGTTTCTGTCGGGCCTGGGTCACAAATGACCGTTCTTCTTTATTAAAAATATTTGCACTGTAATTATAAACCGGCGTTCTTTTTAAAGATGCTGTCTGTATTTTTTTTTAAATAAGTAAGTATATTTAATTTTACATTGATGAACACAGCAATTACGATTTCGCACTAGGATACAATTATGTAAGCGGTAAAAATATTGTATACTGCCACACACGAGCCTTATTTAGAAACACGATCACCTTGAGATCTATTGACCTGTAACGAGCTAGCCTGTCTGTAGCTCTAACGTTACAATATCATGTACCTATTCGACTCTACGATATCCATTTCAGAGAATATACCTATTAAATCTAGTTTATTGAGGCTGTTTCGTGAAGTTGATTTTAGATTAACAGTTAGCTTCACAGATGTCAACGCATATGTAAGCCAATCCATCATTTGAAAGCTAACCATCTCGTGGGAGCGCGTCTCAGCTGTGTCAGCATTTGTATTGTGTCGCAGCATTTAGTGCACCAATGCGATTTGATAAGTAATTTGATTGTGGCTTGTTGTGGCGGCGGGGGCGGCGCGCCTTCGCCGCGGGCCGGCCTGTCTCCCGAGCCTGTAGTCGCTCCGACCGCGATCGCCCGCGCGCACGTCGCGATCTCTCGCGCCGCACGCAACACGCTCGACGATAACGCGCCCTATTTTGAACGCAACAACACTCTAGCTACAATAACCGCTCATTCACAACAGTGTGCGGTTGTAAAACTACGGGCCATTATTCAATAACAAACGAAATCGAAGGATCGGCCCGAAACCGGCTCTGTGACCATATGATCCGCATTGTGTCCGTCTGAACTGCACGGTGATCTCCGGCATCGGCGCGCAGTCACGATGTGGATCGGCAATTGAGAAGTGCATTTGTCTCTTTGTCTAGACATCCGTGTGAAGATGACTCAATGACAGAGGACTTTCTCGCGTGTGTTTGGTTCTGTGACATGGTTATGTTGGAGATGTGAATGTTGACGTTTCTGGTGGTGCAAATTGGATAGTGCGATGGCTGGTGCTAGTGAGGAGGGTGGCGTGGAGGAGGTGTCCCCGGTGGCCGGTGGTCCCGTGGAGGGCCGCAAGCGCGGGCTGAGCGGGTCCATGTCGCTGCGCACGCGCAAGCTGGGCCGGCGGCTGTCGCGCAGCATGTCCATCGTGGCGCTGAAGCTGCCGGAGAAGGCCCACAGCATCACGAGGTCCTCGTCTAAGCTGATGCGATCCGCCAATCGGGACAAGAAGAATCGCTCGTTTGACCTCTCCATCATACTTCCGGATAAAACTCAGAAACAGGTGGGCTTTAGTGATTTAGTAGATGCTAGATCATGATCTAAGCAACAACATTACATAAGTAAAATGAAATAGGTAGGTAAGTATGTAAAATATCCTCAGTGTTGAACGTAGAACTCACTGTTTACATTCACCAACTCTACATTTCAAAATTTATACTTTCTTTGTTTCTAAACTATAAAACACCAACGTTTCACTCACTTTAATTTCTTCGTTACTTACTTACCGCTTGACATTACTGCCTTGCGAATTAAAATAATTAAGACCTTAAGCATTAATTAAAAGCTGAATGGTGAGGAGAGCTTTAAAAATGAGAAAATGGTTGCACTTTAGTCATTGAATCGAAGATTGAAGAAGTGATTAATAATGTTATTATATTATCAACTTATAGCTAAGCAATAGTTGCAACCTTGCTATGTGATTCATAGTCGATTACACTAATGAACAATGACTGTTTCTTTGATTTAGATATTAAAAAATATCAGGCTAATTTTATTTCAAATAATAATCTCTATTTTTATTGATTCGTAACATGTTACCGTTTATTATACCTACTATTAACAATAATTTATAATCTGCTGTAGACTTACTTTGTATCGAAATCGCATGTCTTACAAGTGTTTTATTACTTTCGCCAAATTATCGATTCCTGTAATTATCTGCGATAACATTATTTGATAAAGGTAATAAGTGATTTGAAACTTAGGTAAATTAATCGATAATATCAATACAATTCATACTCATTTAATATTTTTAGTGGTCAGTATTGAATTGATTGATCCAGTTAAAAGTTAACACAAAATATTGTACAGACTGACCAATCTGACCATATTAACCTTTTGAATCGCATTCAACAATAATTCATTTGTCAGTCCACGAACACGCTCCTAAACGAGAAGTAACAATGTAGGCAGACACATTTGGTTTGCGTTATGTGCTGTGCATTCAAATGTGTCTCGATCGGCTGATGCATTTCGCTGGTGTTTCGCCATAGCATCGCCCACACTGCTGATTTCTCCATTGATACAATAATGAGTTCAACAGTGGCGCACTAAGGAACTCCTTCCTTTATTGTTGCATTCTAAGTGGCTCTATCCCATCTTGAACTTGTCAGAAATTGGCTATCAAAAAAACCAAAGTTGTGGTCGTGGATTCATATCCTGCCGGGAGCCAATAATTTTTGATTACATGATTACTTTTGATTGAACGAAATTCTTAGCCTCAACTACTTATAAAACTTTCAGCGCTCAGTTTGGCAATATTCAAAGTAAAAATATCCAATCATGTTCTTTGCAATTTGATAGGAAATTGATGGCATATTTGGTTATCTTCAAACGGTCGTTGATTCTCAATTATCCTAATAACATCGAATTGAATGGAAAGTCGAATTGGATTAGAGCAATTACTATGTAATCAATCAATCGAAGTTGATCAACTCAATACTCGCAAAACCCTATTTTGATGTTAGCTATTATTCTTAGAATCGTTTGTATCCGATTGCATCGAGAACTCCTAGTTATTTTCACTTATTGTGTGTAAAACATAAAAGGCATAATTGAAAAAACACCAATTTTGATTTAATACGTTAAGATCAAATCAGAAATGTAGAGTAGATAGTGACCCTTTTGAAAGCCTTTTATTTCAGACTTCTATGTACCTAATACGATTTGTGTAAATCTTTTCTTGTAATTTTAAGTTTTCCTGTGAACTCTATGGTCTGTTTATCGTCTATTAGATAAGAAATGTAAGACATAAAACACTTACCTACTCGTATCTCACAGTTCTATGGAAAACGTTTTCCTGTAACACACCTAAATATGTAATATTGTGTATGATTCTAGAACTATCCATTCTCCAATTGAATTTCAGTTAGTTTTCCGACTGAGTTCGCTACTGGAATCTGAGTTGGGTTCGTGCTTGAATCCGTCGTCAGGCATTGTTTGCGTTGTCATTGAACCGCGGATTTGCGCGGCTTTGTCGACTGCGACAAACGGCAATGTTAAACCTTGCCTACCGCTTTTTGTATGTATTTTTGATGATCATAGCTCTTGCTTGATATATTCAACAAGCTGCTGTTTTTCGCTTGGATTTCAATGGTAAAGTTATGAGCTCTATATTATGAAATGTTACTCAAACTAGATTCAAACGCAAATGACACAGATTGACCTTGATTGGGTTGCCTCAATAATTTGGACCAAATTCTAGCCTTAATCTGTGCTCAAATCTCTATAATGTTGATCTAGACAACTCTAATCAAATCAGTTCAAATCAAGTAAGTAAATCATTATTTGCTTTGATGGAGCCATCCTACGATTATGACGTAATTTAGGCAGCTAAGTATTTTTCATAATTCTTTTTTGCACCTTGTGGTATACTTGCAATTTTTAGAATCGTAAAATCAAAACTAGTTTTCTTGGAGTGACCTATAAAAGAAGTAGAGTTGTGGTTTCGCAGTTTATACTATCACGGCGGTTGCAGTTCTCGCTGTAAAGATCACGGTTAACCAATTAACTTTTTGTCATTAACGCTAAATATCAAGCATTTCCTCAAAAAACTAAAGGACAAATCCATTGTGGCGCCAATTGTTGTATTAAATTAACGCCAGTTAATTAGTTATCGTGTAAGCAATTAAAGTACCGGATCTGATATATTTTTCATAATAAGTAATAATAAGCTTGTGAAATTTCTGCAGACAAAAGAATTCCATAGCGAGTCACATGTTTTTGAGGACAGATCATTAGATCAGAGACGCAGTCATTTTGTTTTTGCATTCTACTTTTTTACGGCGCTAACAGCAGTTAAGAGAATAGGCTTTGGCTTACAGTTATAGGCAGCGCCTTAACCCACTTGCAAACTAAATCGACAAAATAATTTTGATTCTATGCGCACTCGGAGTGAATGTATGTGGTGAATGGCTTATTAACCGTTTTAGTCACTTGCAAACATGACAAACAATAGATATAACAAAAGCTACAATGTCGTTGTGTAAGTAATCGGCATACCTAGATGTGCCAGACAATACCAACTGTGACATAACGGTTTGTCTGTATTTCAGTTGTAACCTCTACTTAATTCATGTTTCATTTCATATTCATAAACTCAGTAGTACCTACCGAATAGTGTAAATATGACTGAATCTCTACATTTCTACTAAGTATGCTTGCCTATATAAACATTTAATTCTTATGGATACTTTACTCCTATAAACTTACCTGTAACTGAAACTTATTGAACCAAATCTTTCTGATACTGATGTTAGCTAGGTAATTGTATAACATAACAATCCAGACAGTTCATTGTATTTTTCTGCGCCGTAACTGTGCCTTGACAGCAGGGTGTTTGGAATCGCATAATTGTTCTTTGTTTAATATTGTCACATGAGATATGCGGTTATTTACGTACACATTATTGCCCTCAATTTATTTGAGTGGTTTAAAGCAATGTCATCCATGAAATTCTCGTATGGTCTTTAGAGTCAATGCACCAAACAAAGTAGCGAATGAAGCCAAACACATTGTTTTAATACGATAATGAGGCAGCGCAGACGACGATTCGTTTAGTGCCAATCAGGAAGCACGCCCACCTAAAGACCTGGTGCATCTAACTGCACTGAGCGTTGGCGCAGCAGAAGACGACCGCTTACTACTTACATGTACAGACTGACAACAGGCTAATACCAGGCTAACAACAACAAACAAAGCTTAACCGTTCAGTGTAGTTGTATTAGGTACTACTCGTATGTAGGTACTTTGCAACAAAATAATGTTGTTTGATGTGCTGTCAACTGTACCTACAAATAAACTACACACCAACTTTAATAGGCCTACTTACCTAATTAAACTTCTGGACTTATCCTTGGCCTTTTATGTTAGTTAAATTATTTATTATCAGTTCATGATGAATAAAGAGGATTAACGACGAAGATGAAAGTGATCGCTAAAATCGAAATCTCTTAACTCCACATCTTGATGCGAACGTTTCACCCAAATAATTTTGACACTCTCCATCCGACGTAAATGGGGTAACCGTACATCTGTCACTGTGCACACTTTCACCTCATTCGTCTTATTTACGAGAAACGGTTACCTCATTGGGTTCAAACAAAAATATCCTTCGTATTGGGCTGAATTGGCATTTAAATATCGGACGCTCTGTTGGAAGTGACATACTTTGACGTGCACATCCTTGCGTTTCTAAGTCAACACGTCTACGACCTCCAAAATAACAATAAAAATTAGATCCTGCATAGGAATACAGTGCGCAAAATGAAGTGTGAAATTTGCGAGCAAGGCAGCTACAGACAGTAGACTCGGTAGCGTATGCTAACTAATTGCAGGAGAAAGTGATGTCGCAACGAGGTGAATTAGGAACACGTTAAGTGGCAGAGCGCGTGCCACATGCGGGCTGTATAATACTACTCGTACCATTCAATTAATTAGCAGTAACAATCGGTACGCACTCGCATCGAAACACTCAAAGTATAGTCCGAGAACTCTCGTGTTACATAATTTTGATTGTCACGTTTCCATTTGTGGCGGTGATGGCAAAACTTTGGCACAATGCACCGATAGCGAAGTTATAAATAGACCAATTCCGACTACTGAGGTTAAAATTGCTCAAATTCTGCAGACTGTAAATAAATAAATTCATAATTATTATGATCAAGTTGGTACACATTCAAAACCACAACAGGCTATGTCAGAGACATGTCAATCTAATAATAGTGGCTATTGGTATGAACAGAAGTTCTCATACATAATGGACATTTTGTTTATTTAAAGCGGCAAGAGAAACTTTATTGCCATTCAAAACCAGTAATAACAGTTCATATTGTGAATACTTGTTACTGTTTGTCCAGTTAAAGATCGTGTTTCTAGAATATTGCTCGCAGACCAAAATGTTTCCAATAACGTATCCGGTAAAAATAAAACTGCATTTGGTTGCTACTAGTAAAACTTGCTACAAATCGTATTTTGTTCGCACATGTTTGTAAATAATGGACA